ACCCTAAATAGTACCCTAAACCCCACCCGTTAGCGCTTTGCTGATGGGAGGCCAAAAGGGGGGTTTAAGATTCTTGGGGTAAGGCTTCCTTAATATGAACGCTATTATGGGAACCCTAATCCCGACTAAACCCCCATAGGCTAAAACCCCTCTTGGCCTTCTATTATTTTGAGGGAACTACCCCTCTAGTGCCCTTACAGAGACCCCTTATAGGAACCATGTATAGATCCCTTTAAGGAAGCCTATATAAACCCTAAGCCCTAAACCCCTTTTGGCCTTCTATGAAATAGCTACTTAATAAGTCCCCCGACCCTCCAAGTAGACCCTAAACCCTAAACCCCTCTTTAGATCCCTTATAGATCCCTTTAAAGGAACCCTTAGCCTTCTAAGCTTTGCTGCCAAAAGGAAGCTTCGCAAGGCGAGCGGTCGGGCCAAGAGCTCTGGGGACCTCGGGTAGCGATGCCTCGGAGAGCTGGGTTCGTTTAAGGGATCCCTTTTGAGGCTTCCTTTAAGGTGTCTATGAGGGTTCCTTTAAGGGGTCTATGAGGGTTCCTTTAAGGGGTCTATGAGGGTTCCTTTAAGGGATCTATAAAGGGTCTCTATGGGGTTTTTAAAGCTCAGGGATTTAAGAGTTAAGGGCGTTTCGGCTTAGGGTTTCAGGGTTTGAAGAATTAGGGTTTAAGGGTTTCGTATCTAGGTGCTCAGGGCGTACCTGGAGGGTCTGGGGACTTAGTAAGTAGGTAATGAGTAGAGTTATAAGTACCATAGAAGGGATCCTACTTGGGGTTATGGTAAATATAACTCTCTAAAAATAACTACTTAGTAAGTCCCCCGACCCTCCAAGTAAGGCTTAGGGCTCAGGGTTCACTTACCTTTGGTTAGTAGGGAATGGAAGAATGGTAGTAGTAGTAGTAGTTACAATTGTTACCCCCATTCCTCCATTCCCTACTAACCAAAGGGAAGTTCATGGCTTACAGGGTTGCTTTTTTCGGGGGGGTTTTGGGCTTTAGGGCTCAGGGCTTTAGGGCTCAGAACTGAGTAGTTGGGCTTCGGGTCTCGATGGGGTGTAGGGGCTGGGGGTTCAAGGGTATAGGGTTTACATTTTTCGTAAGCCTGTTTTGTGGCTGTACAAGGGCTTCATAAAGGGCTTATAAGGGTTTTTCCAAAACTGACCAAAGAGTTTGTGGCTGAGCGCTCACCTTCCGGCTCCTACTACGACTATTAGGGATTTGAGGTCTTCGCCTTCAATAGCGGCGGTCTGGTGCCTAAGGGAGTGGGACATATAGGGACTACTAATCCACTCTCTCACTCCCCCTTAAGCACCAATAAGTCTAGCCCTTAAGCCCACTAGGCCATCAAGAAAGCCCCAATCGCTCAACAAAAGCCTGGGTCTACAGTGAAAGGCGGTCCCAAAACCTTCAACCCTCAATCTGCCTCAACCCTTAAACGTTTGGTCCCCCTCAATCCTCTACCTTGAAGGAACCCCCAAAAAAGATCCTTATAAATCCCTTAAAGGAGCCCTTTACATATCCCTTTAGGAAAAGGAGCCCTTGAAGGGACACCTTCAAAGGGAACCCTCCCTCCCTCCAGGCCCCAAAGGCCTCCACGGAGCCCCAAAGGCTGTCGAGTCGGCGAATCATCGGCGCACCTCCGTCTAGGGTTTAGGGGTTTAGGGGTTTAGGGGTTTAGGGGTTTAGGGGTTTAGGGTTTAGGGGTTTAGGGTTTAGGGTTTAGGGGTTTAGGGGTTTAGGGTTTTAGGGGTTTCGGGTTTAGGGGTTTAGGGTTTAGGGTTTTAGGGGTTTAGGGTTTTAGGGTTTAGGGTTTAGGGTTTAGGGGTTTAGGGTTTAGGGGTTTAGGGGTTTAGGGTTTTAGGGGTTTAGGGTTTAGGGGTTTAGGGTTTAGGGTTTTAGGGGTTTAGGGTTTTAGGGTTTAGGGTTTAGGGGTTTAGGGTTTAGGGTTTAGGGGTTTAGGGTTTAGGGTTTAGGGGTTTAGGGTTTAGGGGTTTAGGGTTTAGGGTTTTAGGGGTTTAGGGTTTAGGGTTTAGGGGTTTAGGGTTTAGGGTTTAGGGGTTCAGCAGCTCTGACTTTGAACATTTCATGTCAGGCTATTTCTCGTCAAGCTATCTTCCAGAAGAAACCCCACCCGCCCACAGAATCCCATTACATTAGATTTACGAGTTTTATTTCTTTTGGCTTGAATCTTTAAAAGATCACTTACATACAACTATTACAGATCATAACTTTTCATTCTTTCGATCAAGCAGGTGCTGTTTCTTTACAGTCGTTCTTGCCACACGCTTCACTTTAAGAAATTATTTCTGCCGACCAGCTTTCTAAGAGAGCTAGTTAAGAAACGCAACATCGCCCTAACCCGCCGAAGCTGCGGTCACGCCATCGCTTTACGATCGCAACCATAGCTGTCAAGTGTCATGACTTGAATCTCCTCAACTAGCAACCACAGCTATCCAGCTTTCTAACAGATCTAGTTAAGAAACACAAGATCGCCCTAACCCGCCGAAGCTGCGGTCACGCCATCGCTTTACGATAGCAACCATAGCTGTCGATAGCAACCATAGCTGTCCAGCGTCATGACTTGAATCTCCTCACCTAGAACAGCTATCGAATTCGATTTCATGTCTTTCAATGTTTCCACATCGGACTGTGTCCACTGCCTGAACACAAGATCGCCCTAACCCGCCGAAGCTGCGGTCACGCCATCGCTTTACGATAGCAACCATAGCTGTCCAGTGTCATGACTTGAATCTCCTCACCTAGAACAGCTTGCCCAAACCCTAGTGCCCAAACCCTAGGCCCTAAACCCTAGTGCCCAAACCCTAGGCCCTAAACCCTAGTGCCCAAACCCTAGGCCCTAAACCCTAGTGCCCAAACCCTAGCCCTAAACCCTAGTGCCCAAACCCTAGGCCCTAAACCCTAGTGCCCAAACCCTAGGCCCTAAACCCTAGTGCCCAAACCCTAGGCCCTAAACCCTAGTGCCAAACCCTAGCCCTAAACCCTGCCCAAACCCTAGGCCCTAAACCCTAGTAAACCCTAGCCCTAAACCCTAGTGCCCAAACCCTAGGCCCTAAACCCTAGTGCCAAACCCTAGGCCCTAAACCCTAGTGCCCAAACCCTAGGCCCTAAACCCTAGTGCCCAAACCCTAGCCCTAAACCCTAGTGCCCAAACCCTAGGCCCTAAACCCTAGTGCCCAAACCCTAGGCCCTAAACCCTAGTGCCCAAACCCTAGCCCTAAACCCTAGTGCCCAAACCCTAGGCCCTAAACCCTAGTGCCCAAACCCTAGGGGGACGTCAAACCAAGAGCCACGAGTTTTGATCAAGAGCCACGAGTTTTGATCAAGAGCCACGAGTTTTGATCAAGAGCCACGAGTTTTGAGCCACGAGTTTTCAAGAGCCACGAGTTTTGATCAAGAGCCACGAGTTTTGATCAGGCCACGAGTTTTGATCAAGAGCCACGAGTTTTGATCAAGAGCCACGAGTTTTGATCAAGAGCCACGAGTTTTGATCAAGAGCCACGAGTTTTGATCAAGAGCCACGAGTTTTGATCAAGAGCACGAGTTTTGATCAAGAGCCACGAAGTCATTAGGGTTTAAATTACTATAGGTAGGTTTAGGGTTTAGGGTTTAGGGTTTAGGGTTTAGGGTTTAGGGTTTAGGGGTTTAGGGTTTAGGGTTTAGGGTTTAGGGTTTAGGGTTTAGGGTTTAGGGTTTAGGGTTTAGGGTTTAGGGGTTTAGGGGTTTTAGGTTTAAGGGTTTAGGTTTTTATGGGTTTAGGTTAGGGGTTTAGGGTTTGGGTTTTAGGGTTTTAGGGGTTGAGGGTTTAGGGTTTAGGGTTTTAAGGGTTTTATGGGTTTAGGTTTAGGTTGTAAGGGTTTAGGGTTTTAGGGGTTTAGGGTTTAGGGTTTTTAGGGGTTAGGGTTTAGGGTTTTAGGGGTTTAGTGTTGAGTGGTTTAGGGTTAGGGTTTATAGGGGTTTTAGGGTTTAGGGGTTTTAAGGTTTAGGGGTTTTAGGGTTTAGGGGTTTTTAGGGTTTAGGGGTTTTTGGGTTTAGGGGTTTTTAGGGTTTCGGGTTTTTAGGGTTTCGGGGTTTTAGGGTTTAGGGGTTTTAGGGTTTAGGGGTTTTAGGGTTTCGGGGTTTTAGGGTTTAGGGGTTTTAAGGGTTTCTGGGTTTTAGGGTTTATAGGGGTTTTAGGGTTTAGGGGTTTTAAGGTTTAGGGGTTTTAGGGTTTAGGGGTTTTTAGGGTTTAGGGGTTTTAGGGTTTAGGGGTTTTTAGGGTTTTAGGGTTTAGGGGTTTAGGGTGTTAGGGTTTAGGGTTTAGGGTTGAGGGTTTAAGGTTTTTAGGGGTTTAGGTTGAGGTTTAGGGGTTTAGGGTTTAGGGTTTAGGGGTTTAGGGTTTAGGGGTTTAGGGTTTAGGGTTTAGGGGTTTAGGGTTTTAGGGTTTAGGGTACTCTTCTGGTTGGGACTTTACGTGTTTTAATGAACTGACAACTCGTTATTGGAGCGGACTTGCCCAAGGTGTTTCTTTCCGGCGTGGAAAAAATTACAATCAAAAGGGTTTACCGTTAACCCTAAACCGTTTAGGGTTTAACGGTCGAGAGTTGAGAGTTTAGAGTTCAGGCCCAGAGACTCCAACATCCCTTAATTAAGGACTGTACCTTAAATCATATGAGGGGCCATACCCATTTTTTAAAGTAAATTAAAGTCTCTCAGGGTTTACCTTAACCCCAAATAACCTACCTTTTTGAGGACTTATATAAGGAAATCATATAATAACGTGGCATGGCTTTCTGTGAAGTTCTTCGCTTTGGTCTAGCCTCTGGAGCATTTGTCTCACGCGTCCTTCTTTTGTCTGCTGCAGTGCTGGAGGCCTTGGGCTTGCGATACTTGACGATGCCAATGGCGCCGCTGGGGTGCGTGTACCGCTGGGGACGACCGAGGCGTTTCACATCTGTCAGTTGCAGCGCAAAGGTGCGTTTGTAAGGACTGTCACAGTCCCAGCGGTGCTGCGGGTGTACCTGGATTCTCCTGTATGAAGTGCTTGAACGTCCTCTTGGCTTTGTCCATGGCGTCGGCGTCGCCGTTGACGACATTCTGGACAATCTTGACGAGGAGGTGCACCGCATAATCCAGAAGGTAGTCCAGACCGTGCCCCTCGGGCCGGAGCCCTAAAAAGGGTAGGTTTCTTAGGGTTCAGCTCAGTAAGTAGGTAACCTGAAAGGGACCCTAATTGGGGTTATGGTACTTATAACTCTCTAAAATAACTACTTAGTAAGCCTAAACCCCTCTTTAGATCCCTTATAGATCCCTTTAAAGAATCCTTACATATCCCCATTTACTAAGTCCCTAAACCTTAAACCCTAAATCCCTAAACTCTAATCCCTAAATATTGAGAGTTTGGGGACTTCAGGGCCTACTGGGAACCGGATCTTCGGGTTTTAGGGTTCCTTGAAGGGTTTAGGGTTGAGGGTTCTAGGGTTCAGGGTTGAGGGTTTAGGGGTGGAGGGTTCTAGGGTTGAGGGGTTGAGGGTTCTGGAGTTCAGGGTTTAGGGGTGGAGGGTTCTAGGGTTCAAGGTTCTAGGGTTCAGGGTTCAGGTTCTAGGGTTTAGGGGGTTGAGGTTTCCAGGGTTCAGGGTTTGGGGTTGAGGGTTTAGGGGTTGAGGGTTCTAGGGTTCAAGGTTCTAGGGTTCAGGTTCTAGGGTTTAGGGGGTTGAGGTTTCCAGGGTTCAGGGTTTGGGGTTGAGGGTTTAGGGGTTGAGGGTTCTAGGGTTCAGGGTTCTAGGGTTGGAGGTTCGGTAGGTTCAGGGTTTAGGGTTGAGGCTTTAGGGGCATTGGCTGTAAAGAGGGCTCATAGGGTACGTAACGGTGTAGCCAAAGAGCCCATGAATCCCTAAACGCATTAGTTGAGTAACTTATCCGGGCAACAAATAAGTCCTCATACAACTGAAGGTATAGTCTTGATTCAGGGGTTTATTATCCGTTATCGGGAAACACCTCCAAGTAAGCAATATACCTTAAACCTTAGCCAAGTCACCTGATCCTTCAAACAGGCCCTAAACCAGGGGTTGCAGGAGGCATGCTCCAGCAACTCATCTCGCTCTGTTTGAGGCTGCAGTGCAGCGGCTCAAGTGCGTCTCGGGTTCAGGGGCTTAGGATTTAGAGTCTACGGCTCAACAACAGCGTCTACAACGCCAGCCATATCATCATCAACAGCAGAACCAGATGATTCTCGCCAACAACACAACATGATCCTCATGTAAGCAGCAGGGACATCAAAAACAGGAGGGACAATGCAACAGTGACGACTGCGAGCATGACAACCGGAAAGATAGCCAGAACAAAACGGTATCGGCAGCGCGAACCCCAAACAGCATGAAGACCTATGATGGGAAGCCAGAGGGGTAGGGATTCCTTAGTATGAACCCTATTATGGGAATCCTCATCCCTGCTAAACCCCCACAAGCTAAAACCCCTTTTTGCCTCCTATTAGAGGTTGGGTACCCCTGTCAGTAGCAGTTGGATAATCTTCATAATATAGAAAAACGAGGCCTTGATAGGGCTACTATTCTTATAGACAGTTACTATATGGGGGCAGTACCCAACCTAGAGGGTCTTTGCAGGCAGGTGGCTCTGAATACGTGAAGCAGGAACGTTCTCCAGGACGTCCTGTGCGAAGTCGTCATCTGCCTGCGGCTTCAGTCGCGAACAGAAAAAACAAGAGCCTTAATCGCTAGAATGGGATTCCCCTACAGGTTCAAACAAGGTTCTATCGGGGGGCTTAGTATGGGGTCCCCGGTAATTTCAACTTAGGTTTTGGGTTTCAAGAGAAACAGTGACAAGGGTTATAAGGGGATACTCCTAGCATTTATTGCCTAAGCCGCTCAGCCTAAGCCCTAAAGCCCTAAACCCCAAACCCCTAAACCCCTAAACCCTAAACCCCCTAAACCCCTAACCCCTAAACCCCTAAACCCCTAAACCCCAAACCCCAAACCCCTAAACCCCTAAACCCTAAACCCCAAACCCCTAAACCCAAAACCCAAAACCCCTAAACCCTAAAACCCTAAACCCCTAAACCCTAAACCTCTACACCCTAGATCCTCCCTGAACCCCTGTACTATGCAGCAGAGATCTGTGCACTCACGGGAACTTGGAAGGCCTTGAAAGACTATGCACGGTTTGAGGGCTTTAGGCTTTAGGATTAGGGGCTTAGGGTTTAGGGCTTTAGGTTTAGGTTGGGGTGTAGAGTTTAGAGCTTAGGGGCGTGCGGCGACGCCATGATATTCATTGCATGAATGAAGGCTTTTGAGTTTCCTTGCTTCTGGAACTTCTACATGCCAGGATGGCCAACTTGTCTAGGTTACTCTTAGAAGCAATTCTCAACACGGCATCTGTAATAGGAATCCCTCGTACGAGCTGTGTGCGCGTCGCCCGATTGTCTCAAGGCCCTTTGGGGAACAATTGCATTGTCAACAGTACCCTACTTTGATACTACCACTACTAGTACTACTACTATTACAACAACTACTACGACTACTACTACTACTACTACCACTACTACTACCACTACTACTACTATGATTACGACTACTATTGCGGTTGTTACTACTATGGTATTATTACTACTACAGATTTCTCCATGGAGTGAAGTCGGGAGCACAGAGACTGGGTCAGAAGCTCGGGGTTGGTGACTGCAGCTGCTACTAGCCCTTTGAATATCCCCTACTAAAGGGGCCATAATAATTAGAATAGGGTTTTGGGGGTTCCTGATTATAAATATAGTATAATATCCTCCAAAACCGTGTCTAGCTATGAAGGCCCTTCCAATATCCCCTACTGTAGGGGCCTCATTAATTAGAATAGGTAGGGTTTGGGGGTTCCCTATTATGAATATAGTATGATATCCGCCAAAACCGTATTCTGATTATTAAGGCCCTTGTAGGAAATTAATTAAGGAAGATTTTTTCAAGTTGAAGTGCACCCTTTCTCCAAGAAGCGCTGGCAATTTTGCCCTCAACTTATAGGGCTTTAGGGTTTTAGGTTCATACGGTTTAGGGGTAGCTCAAGCTAAACAGATTTCCTGGGTTGTAGCTGTGGGGTCCTCAGAGGTATTTGTGCATAGGTGCCTCAAACGGGCCAACCAAAGTTCTACAGTTGATGATATAAATCCTGCATTACCCACAATAAGGAACATACCATAATTCCCATAGTTTAGGGTCCTTAAGGTAATGCAGGATTTATACCATCAGCCGTATTTTCAATTCTACACGAGAAGCTTGAGAGATAGACGGACCCTTGGCCGACTTCTCAACTCCTCCTAAAAGTCAAACTATTAGTCTCCTTCTTGTAGTTCATATAGCAACCCAAAAATTCAAAGTCCAAAGAGTCAACCAGAAGAACGCAAAGGACCCTTCGGCAAGGCTTAGGGCTCTGGGACAGCTGATTAAGAAAGCCTTGCACAGCTTCAGCCCTGCTAAGATGTCGGGGGATTTAATCAAGGGCCTTAAGGATTAGAATCGGGTTTCGGGGCCCATTATATTATAACCGTATTAAGGAACCGCCACAATAGTATTGGTAATGAATTATTTCAGCCCCTATAATATGCAGCTATCATGCCATCTGAATGCGTCACACCTCAGCTTGCACGGCAATCTGCAAATGTCAGCTAGCCCTAACCCATAACACCTAAAACCCTAAACCCCGAACGCAATGCAGGATTCTGAGTGTTTTATGTCATGACCGCCCGTTTTCTATGCTAGGTTCAGTAGCCCTTTAAAAAAAGGGTAGTCTTTTCCTACATTTCAGGTTTAATAGGGGAACCCAGAAACAAAAAGGCAAAAGGGTGCAACTCAGGAACCTAGTATGTGTACACCCTAAGAAACGGCCCCGAGACTCCACCACCGCTTAATTCAAGGAACAACCTTCAAACTACTGTAGGGTTCCTCTTGAAGGTTGAAGTACATTTCTCAGATCGTGCTGCGGACAGTTGACAGGCCGCACTTGAAGTTGATAGGCGTCTGCGATTTGGTGGACTGCCAGCACTACTTTGTGTTTATGTTCGCGTGCGGCAGGAGGATCTGTAACCCTAAGGACGAGTATACAGATCGTGAAATGGTACAAATACGAATATAGGTATATGCATTGCTTTATGCGTATCTGCTTGTGTATGTGTATGTGTATATGTATGTATGCATGTGTCTATATGTACATATGCATGTATGTATATATCTTTACAAAGACAAGCAAGCAATGTCTTCTCTGGGGTGCAAGGTCTATAGCTTAGCTAGTACCTGCTTCGGGCTACAGTGTTCAGAGTCACGTTCAATCCTGAGGAGGAGTTTAGACTCCAAACTTTAAACCCCAGAACACCTAAACGCTAATCTTGACTCTTATATCGGCTTATTAGTTTGGGATCCAGCGTTTTCAATAACGTCCCCGTCGAGTCTTGAGCCTGCGCCCTCAACGACTTATGACACGAGCTGGATACAATTTAGGTGGGCAGGTAGATAGATGGGTGGGTACAACGGTAGCAAGCAGCGAAGAAACAATAATACTCGTGAAACATCGTGGCGCATGCGCTTTTGTTACTGCTTGGATTCCGCATCTTTGCAGCTACGCGTGTACATTCTGTGATGCCCGTGCCATGCTGAACACAGTTCATCAACGCCACGAGAATCTCAAGTACAGGGGTCTGCATCTGCCAATGATCTAGGTGGGGCTTTTAAAGCCTTTGAAAAATATTAGTAAATAAGATCCTCTTAAGCCCAATAAGGGAAAATATAAAATGTCCCAAAGCCCTAACTAGTGATGCTTCACCCGTACTTCAGCTGAGCATGCACAGCCCTGCTGTCAGCACCATAGTCGGCATCGCCCCAGGTCACAACGGATCCATCGCCTAGAATGGCAGCAAAAGCTCTCGACGTAGCTTGGATCTGCTCCACATTCTTCAGCTGATCCTGCACAGCGCTACTGTCACCGCCAGCTTTAGCAGTACCCCAGGTCACGACGGATCCATCCTCAAGGATTGCAGCAAAAGCTTGCCTCGTGGCTTGGATCTGCTGCACATTCTTCATCTGATGCTGCACAGCACTTATGTCACCACCAAAGAAGAGAATTACCCCAGGCCACGACGGATCCGTCGTCAAGAATGGCAGCAAATGCATAATCCGAGCCTTGGATATGCTGCACACTCTTCAGCTGATCATGCACAGCACTGCTGTCACCACCGAGGGAAGCATGACCCCAGGTCACGACGGATCCATCGCCAAGGATGGCAGCAAAAGCACCGGAAGAGGCTTGGACCTGCTTCACATTTTTCAGCTGATCCTGCACAGAGTTACTGTCGCCGCCGTAGCTAGCAGGACCCCAGGTCACAACCGATCCGTCGTCAAGAATGGCAGCGAAAGCTCCCAGAGTGGCTTGGACCTGCTGCACATTCTTGAGCTGATCCTGCACAGCACTACTGTCGCCACCATGGCGAGCATCACCCCAGGTCACGACCCATCCGTTACCAACAATGGCAGCAAACGCATCTCCACGGCTGCTGCCCTTTGTGGTTTGGATCTGCTGTACATTTTTCAGCTGATCATGCACAGCACTGCTGTCACCGCCGTGGTCAGCGTCGCCCCAAGTCACGACAGAGCTGTCGCCAGTAATGGCAGCAAAAGCACGGCCAGAGGCTTGGATCTGCTGCACATTCTTCATGTGATGCTGCACGGTACTACTGTCACCACCATAGCGAGCATCGCCCCAGGTCACGACGGATCCGTCGTCAAGAATGGCAGCAAACGCGCAATCAGAGGCTTGGACCTGCTGCACATTCTTCAGCTGATCCTGCACAGCACTACTGTCACCACCGAGGGAAGCATGACCCTGGGCCTGCACATGACTACTGTCACCACCATTGCTGGGATGACCCCAAGCCAATCCGGACCCATCGCCCAGAAGAGCAGCAAACGCGCCACGAATTGTGAAGGCAGAAGCCGCAGCCTGAACTTTAGCTCGGCGTATATGCAATGTGAAAAAATCGCCAGTCTGCACATTGGCTTTCTTGATTGTCACACCTGCATCCAAAGCATTCCCAGATGAGTCCAGGAGCCGCCCTCTTCCGACTTCGAGAGATCTCTGAGCCCGACGTGCCAAAATCTCCACATCTTCATACAGGCCGGCTTGCACTGTAGTTGTCCTGCCACTCAGTAATCCAACTTGTACAGTCACCGACATGCGGAACACCTGCACATTGCAACTCTTAGGATGATCTACGTAGGACTAGCATCTTTTGTCCAGCGCCCGCCGGCATAATATCCAACAGACATCTTAGTTGCTGAGTTCATAAGCCCCCAAAAGTGTACACTTTTAGTTTTATAGTGGGTGTCATCACTCACGCTGACTTTGCATAGACTTGTGTCGTTTTGAACTGGGTAGTGTAGGAACCTGACTAAGAAACCCTGCGTCTTTAGTAGGGCTCTTTATGTTAGCCCCAATGTATTGGGGTTACAGGGCCCGGGTTTCTTAACTAGGTTCCTGCATTAGTGTAAGGCTTGAGATAGATGGCTTCGACGCGCAGGGTATGGAAACCCATAAATGTAGACTCCAAAATGAGTACCAATACTATCTTGGGGGTTCCTTGTTAAACTTATAGTATAATGGGCCCCAAAACCCTATTCTAATTATTCAGGCCCCTATATTATAGTACCCTACTGTAGATCCCTTATAGTAACCCTAACAGAACCCCTTTAAAGGAACCCTATTCGCATTATTCTGGCCCTATATCTGCCCCTGAACGTGAAATTGGATCCCAACGCCAACCTTTTGCTCGGGTTCGGCAGCGAACATACTGTTGATGGACAAAATCCTGCATGACCCTAAGGACTCTAAACTATGGGAAATATGGGATATTCCTTATAATGGGTAATGCAGGATTTTGTCCATCAGCAGTAGTTAAGTTACAATAGGGTTCCTTTAAAGGGGCTTTGAAGGGTTCTGTAAGGGCTACCATAATAAGGGTTCCTGTAAGGGTTTCGTATAGTGGCCTTAATAATTAGAATAGCATTTTGGGGTACAAGATACTATAGTTATGATAAGGTGATGATATACATCCTGCATTTCCCATAATAAGGGATATACCATAATTCCCATAGTTTAGGGTCCTTAAGCTAGTGCAGGATGTTTATCATCAACCGTAGGGCTTTAGGGGACTCAAGTCTTCAAGATATCAGGCGAATCTGAAACTGGAAACAAGGTCCCCGCCACGAATGACTCAGCACCAAAGCACCCCCCCGGTTTAGGGTTTAGGGGCCTAGGGTTTCGGGCTTACTACCCTGATTTCTGATTGGCTGTCAGTTGGGGCTGAAACGCATGTAGCTCCGTTGGAGTGTCTGGACAGACGATAGGCCTACACCGCGAGAACATAATTTTGCAATAGCATTGTTTTGACCCAGGGTCTTCTCTCCGGCATTGTGCACTAACATAACCCTTACTATCTTAGTTGCCCGGAAGCCTCAAACCATAAACAGTTTAGGGTTTAAGGGTAAGAGGCGTTTAGAACAGCAGTACCCTAACGAAGGCTTCGCTCAGGGAGTTGCGGGTGTGCTCCAACGTTTGGCTCTGTAGTTGAGAGTTCATGTTCAGAACGGGGTGTTGCGGTATAGTGTACCACACAAATACAGAGGAACACTAGTTCTACCGTTCTACCGGCCCATAAAGAAGGATTAATGAAGAGACTACGTACACAAACGTGATGAATAGCAATGCTGGCAGCAAGTCTTGTTACCGTTCAATGGGGTAACGACAATCATAGCGAACCTTGAGCTGCCAATCCTAAGTTCCGAAGCCCAAAAAACCCTAGACCTTACTTTAAAGGGTCATGGGTCTTAGTTACTAAGGCTGTAACTAAGGTAACTATACCTTTAGCTACTTCTAAATCCTGATTGAGGTAACTATACCCTTCCCTACTAAGACCCCTAATCCTTTAATCCTTAGCACTCTAGACCTTTATAGATCCCGTTCAGAAACCTCAGTTACTTGAGCTCCAAGAAGGAGTTTCCGAAAATTGGGGACCCTCACATGGTACCCTAAATAGTAGGATCCTTAATATAAGGACCCCAAAATAAGGTGTCCCTGATTTTCGGAGACTCCCAAGTAAACCCTGAAACTCCGAAGAAGTCAGCCAATGCCTCGTCACCCTTCTTGCCTTCCTCCTCCTCTTCCGCTTCCTGCGAAGCGGTTTAGGGGGTTTAGGGATTAATCGCTTTCATGGGGTTTAGGACCTTAGGATTTTGGTTGTTTAAGACTTCATCAGGTTTAGGGTTTATAGGGTTTGGGTTGTTTATGGGGTATTTAGGATTTTTAAGTTGCATGCAGCTTGGGATCAGCCTGGAGGAGAAACATGTGGGAGCTTCACACAAGAAGGGGCCCCCCCATACACCCCATGAAATGGTTGGAGTAGATTCCTGAGTAGCGCCTTCACAGTAAGGGTACCCTTTTTCCTACTGTTGTGTTTCAAGAAGGAGACACTAAAAGACAGTGGGCAAAAGGGCACTGCTTAGGAACCTAGGTTCTAATTGAAACAAAGGGGAGCCTTCAGGAATAGTATAAGCAGTTACTTAAGCGTCTATACTATACTCCGAGGGTCTGTGCCCCTTGTCAGGGTGGCTATCTTGCCTCAACCCCGAACCCCTAAACCCTAACCCCTCCCGAAGCACAAAATCCGAAAACTTAAGCTCCAAATCCTGCAGCCCCGAATGAGACCTGAACGCCGAAAGTTCGAAACACCGAAATCTTAAAAGATTGGGTTAGGGTTTAAGGCTTCTTTAAGGGTTCCTTGAAGGGTTTCCTAAGCCCAAGCCTAAGAAAGACCTCAAATCCTTCAATGCTCGGAGCTGCAAAGCTCAAGGCATAAGAACCCAACAGAAGGCAATGTAAATCCTGTGGTCGAACCAAAAACCGGGTTTAGGGCCTCTAGGGTTTAGGAGCACATCCCCAATCCAAAACAAAAGCTTAAATGCCCAAACCCCCGAACCACCCTGTCTGACTCTTGACACCCTCCAAATGCAGATTTTCTAGCCACGTCAATTGAAATTTAAGAAATGGAGAAGATCAAAGCCGCTAATGTTCAGTCGTTTTAGGCTTCTTAGTGTATAATAGGAACCCAGAAACCTGAAAGTAAAAACGTGTACGAGTCAACCCCTGCACCTTAGGTAGTGCCCCCTTACAGTAAGAGTCTCTATAATAGGGCTACCATTAAGGTCCTAATATATCTATATTATGAATATTATTAAACTCTTACTGAGTGGGGGCCGCACCCACACTTCACCATGTTAGGGTTTCGGGTGTGCGGTTGCAGTGCCCTAAATCTTAAACCTCAAGCCCCCAAATTTCCTTAAACCCTAAAACCCCCCATTCCCTAAACCCCTACTCCCTAAACCTCCGAAACTAAGTCTCGAATATAGTGTGCCTTAGCAACTAGAAGGAAATCTGCCGAAGGGCCGGCTCGTCGCTTTGAGAAGCTGCTACTACGGTTGATGATATAAATCCTGCATTCCTTTAAGGACCCAAAACTATGGGAATTATGGTATATTCCTTATCATGGGTAAAGCAAGATTTATATCATCAACAGTAGGGGTTTGGGGTGGAGGGGTTTAGGGTCTTAGGGTAAACTCACAAAAAGCTGTTCCTCGCAGTTCCTTGATGTAGACATACTAAGCTCCTGCAATCTCTGTATACTCATTCAGAGCCCAGCATTACAGTGAACCCCAGAAAGTTGGAACATGAGTTTAGGATGATTAGGCTAGGATTCCCTCTACTTTACCTTGAGGGAATGAGGATGATGATTTTACATTTTTTTTTTTACTTTCTGGCTTCTACTGTATTCCCCACAGCTGTCCTGTGCACCATCATTGCGGCCCTCACTTTCCTGAGCAACAGGACTGTTCTGTCTACGGTTCCTAAAACCCAAACCGCAAAAACCCCTAACCCCCCTAAACCCTTACCATTTAAGAGGGTTGTATATCCTATCGAGACTTCTTCTATGATTGAGTCTGTGAGGTTCTTAGGGGTCTTGATGCTCCCATAGATAATATACGGGCCTAATTAACTACCATGATTATTCCGAGGGTTCCTTACTCAGTATAATAGGCCCCCAAAACGTATTCTAATTACTCAGGCCCCTGTCCTTCTGGAAAAGCTCTAAAAGGTAAGCTCACGAAGAAAGACAACCGGTCCTAATTCCTGGAATTGGGTGTACTTGTACAGTCAGCGGGCGTCGTGAGTACGTCACGAGTGGAGTAACAAGTTCCCTCACTCGGGCTACCCTACTCACAAGAAGTCCACGGTTAGCCTGCTGGCCATAAGTGCCGTGATCTTCTAGCAGGGTTCTGCTTAACACGCTTTACTTAAATAAAGGATCATGGGAATACATAGTATCCCTGACGCCCTATCCGAAAAAGCAAAGAAAGCACACATCCAGGAGCTTTTTTGCTATATCGACTTGGCTGACTTCTGAGCCCCTCCAAAAAGTTAAACTTTTCGCCTCCTTATAATGGCTCATATAGAAACCCACAAAGTTAAAGTCCTAAGAGCCAACCAGAAGAGCACCAACTCGAGACCAGCTTCCTCGTCCTCATCTTCCTCCTCGCTCGACGTCTCGTCGCTGCTGCCATCGTAATCCTGACAGCATTGACAATCAAAGGGGAAAAGGAGGGACCCTTAATGGGGACCCCTACCCTATAATGGGGCTATGTAATGGGTATATAATGGCTATATTAAGGGTATATACCTAGGGGTCCTTGTTAAGGGTCCCTCCTTTTACCCTTGGAGACAAGGGAAATGCCCCTCCCCCCCCGCCACTCTAACCCTAAACGAAACCCTTAACGCTTAAACCCTAAACGAAACCCTAAACCCTTACTAAACCCTAAACCCTAAACTGAACCCTAAACCCTTAAACCCTAAATCCCCGTTGACAGGGTGGTAGCCGACACCCCCATGGGGACCCTGCGGCTGAACAAAAATCCCAAGAGTGGGAATGAGGGTATTTAGGCAACGTAAACGTTGTCCAGTATCCCAGAAAAAAACCTACAGGTCCACCTTTGGGATTACATAGGGGTTGTAGTAGCCCACAAAACTGTTCAAAGTTTTATACTCTACTACTGAGATTAGAAGCCTACTTGTCGGGTATCATGGGGAACTAAAGGTTAACCTTTTTGGTTATATACATAGGGACTATACCACCCAAACAAGGTTAAAGGTTACCTACTCTACTCCTAGGTACTACTGAGATTAGAAGTCCTAGGCTGCTTGCGGACCTCATCTTCCTCGTCGGACTCTTCGGAATCATCCGTGCCTGCCAGCAGACGAACGCTGGGACGCAAGCTTAGCGTACTTAGACCGTACCCCTTGAAGACTAAGAAGCATAATACCCCAAACGGTACCCTACCAGTACAGGCCCAAGATACGGTGCCCAAAGCCTGCAAAACACCTTAACGAAGAAACATTGCTTGGATTATACATGGGTCCTCAATACGATTTAAGCGGCTTATGGCATAGTATTTGGGTAAACTGATCTGCTTGCCGACGTAGGGTGAAGGATAAATCTGAACCCGGAACCCTTAACCTCTGAACCCTTAAACTCTACATTCTAAACGCTGCATTTCACGCCCTGAAGCCGAATTACAGGCGGACTACAGGGAGATACGATTCCTTGTCATGACAACCCCCTGCAGTACCGCCCGAACTTCAGTTGTGACAGTTGCAGGATTCGAAGCTTAAGGCTAGGGTTTGTGGTTGAGGTTTTAAAGTACAGCAAAGGACCTACAAGAGTGTTAAGGGCGATGCTGAGAGTTTTGTAGGGTTTCAGTGTGGGGATCCCAATGATGAACTAGAATCACAAGTGTTTGGGTTTCTCATAATGCAATTATACCAAGGATCCCCTGGGGAACAGAATTGGTACTTATTCGTTGGGCTTCAGGAGCTCTGAGAAACAGAATTGGTAGTTACTCAGGCCCGCATCGTAGGGCTTTGGGATTTAAAGCTTTATGTCTGGGCTTTCAAGTTGGAGAGGTTTAGGATTTAAATGTTGTGATTTGGGAGTCGAGGCCCTATCTCTGCTTGCGTTCGGTGTTTAGGTTCAAGGTTTTGGGCAAAGTATCCTTTCCGGTGACGCACAGGAGCCGACACTCCCACGATATTTTGTCATCTTATCACTGGTCTTGCAAGCAACACCTCAAACACGGGGGTGCAAATCCTTCACCTTCCCAAAGCCCTAACACCACAAGACCCAAATCCTCACCCTGACAGCGATAAGCCCTAAAATCCTGAGTTAACAGCAATCTCTGCAGGGAATGGCGGAATGGATCCACACGATATCTAGTTGGTCCCCGAAGGTCCCTGATACGGTTGATGATCTAAATTTTGCATTGCCCATAATAAGGAATATACCATATCTCCCATAGTTTAGGGTGCTTAAGCTAGTGCAGGATATATATCATCAGCCGTAGTAGTCCTTCAGGGTTTAGGGGTCCCTACAACCCATTCCCCCCCTTCCCTACTAACCACAGCCACCTTCGGAAGGGCTGCTTGCCAAGTTGACGGTCCCCGCTTTCTTCAAGGCCTGGCATTTGCCGGGAATCCAGGTTTTGGGGGTTTGGGGTTCAAGGTTTCCAAATAGCAGAAAAATCGAAGCCTCACTGACAGGCAAACGTGGCACAAGGCCTGAGAGCTAGGCTGAATTGAGATTCCATACCAATGCGTTGAAATCTGGGTATCCTGTTTGTCCTCATGCCCAGGCCCCTGAAAGGATCCAAATAACAGAAGTCCCCCCACCCCCCCCAAAGCTATTCTACCTTCATAAGTGCGAACTTCGGGATTCTATTTCTTAGATCTTTCCGGGGTCTCGATATTCAATATTTGTAGCAAACCTCCCACAAAAGGATGGGTCCAAAGTGACTACGGCAGCCGCACGCGGCTTCCTGTTGAACCCCGAAACAAAATGCTCTCACAACCCTCCACACCCGCTAGATAGCTTCATGAATAACTCACGAAGCCATATAACCCGCATAACCAAAAGCCCCCTCATAGCGTCGGTGGGGACCTCCTTACCCATCTCAAGGCTGCCTCTTCGACCCAGGATCCTGTTGAGACTGTCCACTTTTTTCACCCAAGAAGGCTGTCTTTTTTTGGGTTGAGGCGCTCAAGTCTTAGCAAGGGCATGAGAATGGTTTTAGCCTTGCGGTGGCTTGAACGACTTCTGCGCGTCAGTAGCTGTTTCGTTACAGTTGCCAAAAGTACTGTGTTAAGTTACCTGCTGGCAGCAGCCGTCGTCGCCGTCGTCGTCGACATTGCAGTAGTACACCAGCACTAACGAATCTGTATTCGCCGCTACTCTCCCCAATCCTACTTCCACGTCGACGGCTCTTTCTACTGCTTCTGCTGCTGCTGCTGCTGCTGCTAGTACTACTGCTGCTACTGCTACTACTGCCAGTACTACGACGACGACTGCTGCTACTACATCCACATCGACGACTACATCAACATCCACTACTACTGCTGCAAGAACAGCATTAACACCTGCTACTACTGCCACTATTTCTCTACTGCTCCTGCTGCTGCTACTACTACTACTACTACTACTACTACTACTTGCTTCGTATGATCCTTCACTCTCTCCAACCGGCAATTAGGCATGACTGTGGCACTGCCTGGGGTGGACCCTGATGGGCGCTCCCTCTGCTACCACTATGCTGCACGAACACTGCTCTATGAATGTATGCTCAAGCAAGCCTCAGGCAGCAGCATCATATATGAAGCTGTGCACTGGCGGAGTCAAAATCAAGCCTCAATGCTTGCTTCTCCAACTGACGGCGCTCGTCGGTTACGCTTGATTGCACTCAGAGCTACTGGCCAGGTCTCAACGACGTCTCGCTTCAGCAGCAATCTTGATTAGTATAGCTTTATGTCCATGGCCATACTGAATGAATACTACTACTACTACTACTACTACTACTACTACTACTACTACTACTACTACTACTACTACTACTACTACTACTACTACTACTACTACTACTACTACTACTACTACTACTCTGGGCAGGCTATGTCCCTTAAACCCAGCTGTCAACCCCCAACCACCCGAACCCTTGAACCTAAGTCCCTCGCCCTAGCCTGGGGTCTGGGGTTTAGTGCTAGCCCGTCAACAAGACTTCGGGCAAAGAAGTTGTTTTTTCTCGATCTAATATCTCAGGATTGAGTTCATTGGGCACATGTCTACCGTACCACATGGGTCCTCCCAGCGTCCACGAGACCGAGACATAACCCGTAAAAAGCCTAGGGACCCCTTTACAGGTACTGTAAGGTCTACATATATACTATATGGGTTAGAAGCTGCCCCCACCCTGTAATAGTGACTATAAGGATTATATAGGATTATATCAGGGCCCTAATATATTCCGATTATACCACAATTACAGGGTGAGGGCAGCTTCTATTATATGGGTACATATGCCCTCAGGGTCTTGAAGTCGCCAACCCTTAGAAGCCTACAGCCCTGAAACCCCAAAGTAAGGTACCCCAACCATATAAGAAAGGGATCCGACAACTTAGAGATGCTATTCTTTGAAAACTCCGTTGTACAGTTATGCCGGAATACACCCCACCTCCGATGACTCATGCGCCGATTGCACCCTAACCCGCCGAGCCGTTGAGTACGAAGCTGTTAAGAAATCCGATCAAACTCCTCACCACATCCTACAAACCTATAGAACCAACCCTATAATGGCCCTAGAACGCCCGATGCAATCCTACCAAGAGTTATAAAGACCCCATGCAACCTATCCCTACAAACCGCCTCAGCCCAAAACCCAAAACCCTGCACCTTAAGCCTAAACCCCGCTAAAGCCTGAGGCCCAAACCCTACAAGCCCTCAAGCCTAAACCCTTTGCAGCACCCAAGTGGTCCTAAACCCTAAACCCCAAAGCCCTTATAGATCCCTTATAGATCCCTTTAAGGGACCCCTTAAGGGGTCCTCACGGCATCCATCGGGGCATTCTTGTGGATGGATCCCAAAACGAGAGAGTCCCACAGCGCAACGAGGCCTCTCGTTTCTCTTCGCGGGATGTCTGTTCCTTTTAGGGCTCAGGGTTTCCGATTTTGAATAAATCTGCGCATCTTCGTGCTTAGGGTTGCAACCAAAGAAGTGAACAAGCAGACAAAGAAGTACACCACCACTACCACGACGACACAAGCGAGATGCAAAGCACAGCTGTCGCAACCAAGAAGCGAACCCCTAAACTGCAAACCCTCGACCCCAAACACCAAACCGAGGAGGTGCTTTTAAAGCCTTTGAAAAATCTTAGTAGGTACGATCCTCTTAAGCCCAATAAGAGAATATATAAAATGTCGCAAAGCCCTACCTAGAAACCCTTACATCAAAACGTTATTCTTTTTGTGAAGGCCCCCTTGCCCAACTGCAGGGACAGCGGGAATTCCTATACCAGGAGGAGCCTGTGATGGGGACCTCTTTTTGGCGGACATAGCCGCGGTTTAGGGTTCAGGGTTTAACCCTACCCTAAGGGTCCTAACAAATTGGGAAACCTCAAAACTGAGGGTTTTTGAAACCCCCAAGAGACCCAAAAGGGCTCTCCCTAGGACATTCCGGACCCTTAATATACCCTAAATCCTAGACCCTAAACCCTAAAACCCTATAACCCTGAATCCCAAACCCTAAAACCCTATAGCCCTAAACCCTACACCCAGAACCTTGAGATACCTGGACCCTTAGGGTAAACCCGGGATCTCTCTAACTCCTAAGCCCTTATAGCTGCCTGCAAGGAACCCTGAAATGAACCCCCTTAATTACATGAGGTCGTGTCCTGCTATCATTTCAGGTATGGGGGTTCCTTTAAGGGATCTATAAGGGGTCTATGGGGGATCTGGATCTGTAAGGGATCCTTGAGGGTTCCTTTTCGAGATCCTTGAGGGGTTCCCTTACTAGGATGCCCAGTAACCAAGGATTGAAAAGGGGCTCCCTTTTTGGTATTGGGTAACTTTATAAGGAACCTAGGACTACACAAAGGGGAATAAGGGTACTACTGGGCACCCTCGATTGCAAGCGGAACTGGAATACCGAAGCCTCACAGCTCTTAAGGCGGAAGCGACCAAGGCTTTGAGACTGCAAAGACGTGGACGCTGAAGCCCAAAAGCCCGAAACAAACCCTAGACCCGGCAGCCCTAAAGCTCTAAACGTCCTAAACCACAGAACTCTGAACCCTCAAAACCTAAAGCCCTGAAGCCCCAAACCTCTAATGCTCTTCAAACCCTGGATATCGGAAGCGTCAGGGGCAGGTCCCTAGTTGCCCAGGTTCTTAGAGGAACTTAAGGTTTACCTTTGTATTTATGTAGGCGTTTTCGTGCCCCCGCCAAATAAAGATCTAAAGGTGACTTACTCGACAACGCACTCCGTCGGCTGCGGAGCCTCCCCAGGTTGACCTTCAAAGTATAATATACTGAGCCCAAAGACGCCAATACCTGAAATGATAGCAGGACACGACCTCATGTAAATAGATCCGTTAAAGGAGATCCCCCCATAGACCCGTTATAGATCCCTTAAAGGAATCCCCATGGAGACTTATGTAATTAAGGGGGTTCCTTTCAGGGTTCCTGACAGGCAGCTATAAGGGCGATCCAGGGCTTACCCTAAGGGTCCAGGTATCTCCTTAGGAGGGTCCGGAATCTCCTAGGGAGAGCCCTTTTGGGTCTCTTTGGGGTCTCAGAAATCCTACATTTTGAGGTTCCCTAAAGTGTTAGGACCCTTAGGGTGAGCCCCAAGACGCCAATACCGTACGGTTTAGGGTTTAGGGTAGGGTTTAGGGATCCTTTCAGGGTTCCCTTTCCCAGAGACTCCAATAGCACCTAAATAAGGAATAGGCGTTAAAGCATAGTAGGATCCCAAATAAGATTTATAGCATATTCCTTGATTTAGGGATAATGTAGGAACCTGACTAAGAAACCTTGGGCCTTTGTTAGGGTCCTTTATTTGCATCCTACTATTTTGGAGTTATAGGCCCAGGGCTCTTAGTCAGGTTCCTACGTTACATTATCCCTCAATTAAGGAATATGCTATAAACCATATCATCAGGGATCCTACTATCATTTAAGGTATATTCCTTAATTAAGGGATATTGGAATCTGGGTATGTAGGGGCCTCAATAAACAAAATGCGCCTTTAGATTGAGGTTGTAAAGCTTCTGTCCTGTAAGGGTAGGTTGCAAAACTGTGTGATTATACGTGGGCTTTCACAAACTTCAACGACTCGGACAAAGAAGCTCAAAGTAGTAGGATCCATGTTATCAGGACCCCCCTTAAACCCTAAACACTAAACCCCGAATGTCATACCCTACACTCCCTAAACCCTCGACCCCTTAGGATTCATGTTATACGGACCCACAACGTGCTGCTTCGGTGAAAGCCCTGCCTGGGTTCGTCCCGTGCGCCGACTCGAGGTGCACAAAGCCCTGTGTAGTGGTGGGGTTTGGGATTCGATTCAGGGTATGGGTTTAGGGGTTTAGGGTTTTAGGGGTTTAGGGTTTAGGAGTTAGAGTTTAGGGTTTAGTTGAAAGCTTAGGGTTTAGAGTTGAGGGTTTATGGTTGAAGGTTTAGGGCTTTCGAGGTCCTGAAGAAAAAAGAAAGGACTGGAGGTTTGCACCCTGCCTGATTGTGTAGGGCGATCTGGTCGTCAACATCTCAAGCTATAATATAGGGGCCTTAATAATTAGAATAGGGTTTGGGGAGGCCCCTATAGTAGCCTGGAAGTAGGCTATCAGTAGACTGACCCGTGCCCGGTTTGGTAGGGAAGACGGCACCTTAAGACCCTTTGACAAGTGGGACAGTCCTCAAATCCACAGGAACAAGAGCTGTGCCACACAGTTCAGAGTTTAGGGTACCGGGCACAGCTTCTGCTGCCAGTCTGCCCACCGAAGCTTCTGTACAACCTGAGAAAGTTCCCCTATATACGCAAACCAACATCCTAAGCCCTATAAAACCTGGACAACCGCATTACACAACCCCGCAATGTTGAGGACATCTCCTTTATCAGGGGCCATGGGTTTTCGAGGGTCGCAAGTCTCTTGAACCTAAGCAGCCCTACACCCTACCTCAACCCTTAACACTCAAACCTTACAAAGGCTCTGAATCGTTAGGTCAGGGTTTGGGGCTCATCTATATTAATAAGGAATACTACCTTCAGGCCTCCCTGAAAGGGACACTAATTGGGATTATGGTACTTATAACTCTATAAAACAGCTACTTAGTAAGAAGTCTCCGACCATTGTAGAACCCAGATAAGAGCCTGCAAAACCCACGTAAAAACCATCATGCGAAACTGCGAACTCCCACGAGAACCCATTAACAAATTTACGGCATAGATATCGAAACTCAAAAAAGCCGCAAACCTAAATCCCAAAGCCTCAACCCCAAACCCCCCTAACTCTGAAGCCCAAACCTTTTTAGCCCTCAACCGAGACCCCAAACGCCCTACAAAACGCCCCAAAGATCAACCTTTTCAAGGAACTGTATATAAGAACCACACTAAGGAACCTTAAAAAGGTGGGTCTTTTCGGCCCTAAAAACCCCGAACCCTAAGGGTACTTTGTAGGAATTCCCATTAAGGGATCTAGTAGATCCCCAAAAGGGGGCAGCCCCCGTGCCAAAAAGATCCCTTCTTATGGATCCCTTGAAGTAGCCCCTAAGGCACCCTTAGGGGAATCCCCGGGAGGATCTAGAAAGTAGATCCCCTAAGGCACCCTCAAGGGAACCCCTGTAGATCCCCCAAAAGGGGGAGCCCAACCCTAAACCCTAAACTCAAGGAAGCCCCAAACCCTAAACCCTGAACACCCCTAAACCCAAAACACCCCTAAACCCTAAACCCCTAAACCCTAAACACCCCTAAACCCTAAACCCCTAGCCCTAAACCCTAAACCCCCCGAGGCCTTGAGCAGCGCGCCCGGCCGCGGCCCCTGTGCCGAGAGCACAAGCTCCAAGAGATCCGAGACAGCCTCGGGGAAGACTGGGTTCTTGTTTAGGGATTTAGTAAATGGGTTCTTGTTTAGGGATTTAGTAAATGGGTTCTTGTTTAGGGATTTAGTAAATGGATTCTTGTTTAGGGATTTAGTAAATGGATTCTTGTTTAGGGATTTAGTAAATGGGTTCTTGTTTAGGGATTTAGTAAATGGATTCTTGTTTAGGGATTTAGTAAATGGATTCTTGTTTAGGGATTTAGTAAATGGGTTCTTGTTTAGGGATTTAGTAAACGGATTCTTGTTTAGGGATTTAGTAAACGGATTCTTGTTCAGGGATTTGGTAAATGGATTCTTGTTTAGGGATTTAGTAAATGGATTCTTGTTTAGGGATTTAGTAAATGGATTCTTGTTTAGGGATTTAGTAAATGGGTTCTTGTTTAGGGATTTAGTAAATGGATTCTTGTTTAGGGATTGAGTAAACGGATTCTTGTTTAGGGATTTGGTAAATGGATTCTTGTTTAGGGATTTAGTAAATGGATTCTTGTTTAGGGATTTAGTAAATGGATTCTTGTTTAGGGATTTAGGGATTTAGGGTTCTTGTTAGGGTTCTTGTTTAGGGATTTAGTAAATGGATTCTTGTTTAGGGATTTAGTAAATGGATTCTTGTTTAGGGATTTAGTAAATGGGTTCTTGTTTAGGGATTTAGTAAATGGATTCTTGTTTAGGGATTTAGTAAATGGGTTCTTGCTTAGGGATTTAGTAAATGGATTCTTGTTTAGGGATTGAGTAAATGGATTCTTGTTTAGGGATTTGGTAAATGGGTTCAAGTTTAGGGATTTAGTAAATGGGTTCTTGTTTAGGGATTTAGTAAATGGATTCTTGTTTAGGGATTGAGTAAATGGATTCTTGTTTAGGGATTTGGTAAATGGATTCTTGTTTAGGGATTTAGTAAATGGGTTCTTGTTTAGGGATTTAGTAAATGGATTCTTGTTTAGGGATTTAGTAAATGGATTCTTGTTTAGGGATTTAGGGTTTAGGGATTCTTTTTATCCAAGGATCAGGGTTTAGGGATTCTTTTTTTAAAGTGCAGTAAAGGGATTTGGGGAAGACTGGGTTCTTGTTTAGGGGATTAGGGATTTAGCAAATGGGGATATGTAAAGATTCCTGAAAGGGATCCTGATTCTTGTTTACGGTTTATGGTTCAGGGATTTAGGGATTTAGGGTTTAAGGATCCAAGGATTAGGGTTTAGAGATTTTTATTTTAAGTGCAGTTTAGGGATTTAGGGATTTAGCAAATGGGGATATGTAAGGATGCCTTTAAGGGATCTATAGAGGGGTTTAGGGTTTACGGATTTGGGGATTTAGGGATTTAGGGATTAGGGTTTAGGGATTTTTTGTGCAGTTCAGGGATTTAGGGATTAGGGTCTAGGGATTTAGGGATTTAAGGATGAGGGTTTAAGGATTTAAGGATTAGGGTTTAGGGATCGGGATTTAGGGATTTAGGGATTAGGGTGTAGGGATTTAGGGACTTAGTAAATGGGGATATGTAAGGATTCCAAAAATGGATCTATAAGGGATCTATAGAGGGGTTCAGGGTAAAGGGTTTACTTGGAGGGTCAGGGGACTTACTAAGTAGTCATTTTAGGGAGTTGTAAATACCATAACACCAATTCGGGTCCCTTTTAGGGTGCTTATATCTCTACTTCTTACCTACTTACTAAGTCCCCCCGACCCTCCAAGTAGGGTTTAGGGGTTTGCTTGAAATTACCATAACAAAAAAGCATATATTACTTACCATAAATCAGTACTATGGTAACTTAAATTAAGTTCCTGAACAAGAACCCCGAACCCTAACCCCTAAACCCTAAACCCCTAAACCCTATGGTACCTTAAATTTAAGTTCCTGAACAAGAACCCCGAACGGGATGAGGACTGGAGGCTTGCCCTCAAGGGCTGAAACAGCACCTAAACCCCCAAACCCTCAAGCCCTAAATCCCCTGAGTCCAGGTTTAAGGGGCTTGCAGGGTCTGGGGATCAGGGTTCAGGGTTTCGGGTTCAAGTTTAGGATTTGGGGTCAGAGTTTAGGGTTTATGGTGTATGGTTTAAGGCCCTAAACCCTAAACCGTTGGAGCCTTCTAGGGTTGCGCTAAGGGAGCCCACCAGTGTTTGTGCAAAGTTCCACATGGGTAAAATTAACTATACTGAACTTAGAACCCTAGCAAAAATTGTAATTTTAGCTGTTTCTTAGGGAATCCAATAGCCCAAAATTAAAAAAATCTAAGTACCCCAAGTATTAAGGTCCCTTTTTGGGTACCCTAAATATTAGGTGCCGTACTATAATAGGGAGCCAAAGGGACCCTAGTTTTGACAACCACCCACATGGGTTCCTAGGGTTCTACTATGGGGGGCTAAAGAACTAGAACAAGCTTGTGACATTGTAAGGGTTAAAGAAGGTTCTGATAGGCTTCAATATAGGGCCTTAGACATTAGCGACCACATGCCGTGCCGAGGGACGTGCAACGACATGCCGTGTCGCATGACCGCTACTTTCTGTACCCAGCGGAACTCCTGGCCCCAAGCCGCGCGTACGGTTGCCTTAGCACTCGCCCGCGACGTTACCACGACCAGCAAGTCCACGGCAAGGGTAGCCATGTGACTAGGAAAAGCTCCCGGTCAACCTTGCCACCTAACACTTGAAACCAAGTTCCTTTCAGCAGCTGTATACATGTCCCGTGACGGTCTCCCGCACAACACCTCAAACCTGACCCACGCACTTTCATACTTGCCGCGCTGCTCCGCCATCCGCTGAACTACACCCCCGCTACATCATGATGAACGAAAGAAGGCCTCCTCGCTCTGGTATGGCTAGGCTTTTAACCAACATGTTCCGGAGTTCTGTAGTGGCATTTAAAGAGGCCTAAATCATTTCAGAAAGGTTTTGAAGGCATGCGGTAGTGTAAATACATAACGCCTGTAGAATTAACACGAGGTTTAAACAGGTCCTGCTAATTTACTGTTTTCGGGCTGGGGGTTTCAGGGTTTCAGGCCTTAATGGGGTCTGGAGGCTTTCTACGATATCAAATGGGGTCGTCCATGGCCGATAACTAGGCTTTGGGATGCCATGGGTTGTGGATCTCCAATGTCGGGGGTTACTTGGAGGGTCGGGGGACTTAGTAACTGGTCATTTTACGGAGTTATAAGTACCACAACCCCAATTAGGGTCCCTTTTGGGGTACTAAAAGTATACTTACTACCTACTTACTAAGTCCCCCGACCCTCCAAGTAATGTAGAAGCCCAGAGCATTACCAATACTATTCCTAGGGATCCTTACTATAACTATGCTATAATGTACCACAAAACCCAATTCTAATCATTAAGGCCCCTGCATAGATCCCTTATAGAACCCCTACAGGAACCCTTATATAGATTGGGTACGGCCCCCACTCACTAATAGTTGAATTATGTTCATAATCCACATATATTAGGACCTTAATAGTAGCCCTATTATAGACTCTTACTGTAGGGGGGCAGTACCTAATATATAGAGCCCTTTAAAGGCACCCCATTCTGGAATGTCCCCTGTAACCCTCACAAGGCGTCCACACCTTCCAAACCCCTTTTTTTCTTGGCTGACTTCTGAACCCCTCCAAAAAGTTAAACTTTTAGCCTCCTTATTATGGTTCATATAGAAACCCAAAAAGTTAAAATCGAAATTCCCCAAAATCCTATCCCCTATAGATCCCCTATAGGAACCCTTAAAGGAACCTCTTAAAAGGTCCTAAAGAGCCAACCAGAAGAGCGCCAAGTTTTGGTTGGCGAGTTCATGGCCGCCGACTTCAGCACTAAAAAGCTTACACCTTCAGTTCTGCAGAGTCCAAGGGTAAGAGGAGGGACCCTTAATAAGGACCCCTAGGTATATACCCTTAATATAGCTATTATATACCCATTATATAGCCACCTTCACTATACTTCAGTTCTGTAGAGCTACTCTTAAACCACAAAGTGTCATGAAGGTACTACTATACTGAACTTAGAACCCTAGCAAAATTAGAATTTTAGCTGTTTCTTAGGGACTATAATAACCAAGAATTACGATAAAGGACCGGATAACCCCACATGACAGCGATACTCTGGTCAGCATTGAAGCAGTGTAAAAGAGAGTGGTTTAAACACGTAAGCATGCGTGCGCACCTCGCGTGGATGTCCGCTCCGGTTGTGTGTGTGTTGTGTGTGTTGTGTGTTGTGTGTTGTGCGTTGTGTGTTGTGTGTTGTGTGTGTGTGAGTGTGTGCGTGCATGCGTATTAACACATTTGCAAGCTTGGCACCTTCGCCCCACCCCTCCTCCCCCTCCCCCTTCTTTTTTTTTTGCAATTGCCAAAGCGCACCTTGAATATCACAACGAGAGAGCCACACGGTGCCTCCAGGAACCTAGCCCTGCCCTCCCCTTTAGCGCGCGCATGATCCAACAAGAGCCCTCCAAGAGCCTCCGAGAGCCCTCGGAGGAGAGGATTTGAGTCGCGGGAGACTCTTCCTAAGTGCAGGACCCCTTTAGCGCGCACATGACCCAACAAGAGCCCTCCAAGAGCGTCCGAGAGCCCTCAGAGGAGTGTGTTGTTGTGCGTGTTGTGTGTGTGTGTGTTGTGTGTGTTGTGTGTTGTTGTGCGTGTTGTGTGTGTGTGTGTGTTGTGTGTGGTGTTGTGTGTGTTGTTGTGCGTGTTGTGTGTGTGTGTGTGTTGTGTGTGTTGTGTGTTGTGTGTGTTGTTGTGTGTGCCGTGTGTGTGGGCGGGCGGGTGACGGAAGCGGGCGCGGTGCAGCGCAAAAATAGAAACCCCACAGTGATGTGGGGAATTAAAGAGTACCTCTAAGTACCCCTGAGCTCAGTTCTGTAGAGCTACTCTTAAACCACAAAGTGTCATACAGATACCAATTCAGCTACTAACCGTTCTAAACTCGGAAACAGTCGTGAAGCCTGCTTCGCCGACTTCCTTCGCTTCAACTGGTGCTGGAGCAGGACCTGCAAGACCTGTGGGTTTTAGTATAAGGGTCCCAATAAGTAGAATAGGGTTCTTATAATTTAAGAGGTGTATTAAGGTAATAGCATAAGGGCCGCAATAAGTAGAATAGGGTTCTTATAAGAGGTGTTTTAAGGTAATAGCATTGGCTTGGGGCTGAGTATGTTCTACTCTAGATATACAGGGCTATAGCGGAATATCGCTTACTGATCATTCCGACCACACCAGTGTTTGGAGCTTGCGAGAACGGATCTTGTGGGGTTTTGGAGCATTGCGTCTATCAGGCAGTTGCTCTCTTTCAGGACCAAGCTCTTTGAGCAAATGAGCTTGAGCTCTCAAACAAGTTCTTATGAAACCAGAAACACATCAAGGCCTTAGCTATTTCAATAAGGTCCCTTCGTACAAGGTTTCCAGCGGCTCCGGCAAGTTGTGCACCGACGAGCGTGCACGAGTGCACGCGTAGCCAGTGCCGTTTTTGAAGTCTGCATTGGTGTACAGCAACCGCATTTGGAAATGCGAGAACTTCTTGGTTTTCCCAAATGGAGTCAGTGCCTTCTTGAATTTCGACCCGGCGTCAGCTCGACGGCCGTCCATGATTAACAGGATGTCGCCCTTCTCCATGTCTGCACGGTTCAAGCTGGACAGCAGGTGCGCCTCGTGGACAGGGGCCAACAAAAAGAAAGGCCTGCCTTCATTCCAAGGGTAAAAGGAGGGGCCCTTAATAAGGACCCCCAAGTATATACCCTTAATATAGCTATTATATACCCATTATATAGCCCATTATAGGGTAGGGGTCCCCATTAAGGGTCCCTCCTTTTTCCCTTTGATTCATATGTCTCCGTGAATTTATCGTTGTAGCCCTTCGTGTCGTACACGAACATCACGTGATCCTCAGGGCTGCGCTTCGGCAGTCGGTGCCTAGAAAGTACCCAGAGACTCCAAATTCCCTTTATTTAAGGAATATACCTTAAATCATATAAGGGATCCTACCATAATTTAAGGAATATTCCTTAATTAACGGATATTGGAGTCTCTGAGTACATCGACGTTCCGGGCACCAGCTTCACGAGGTCTGTGAGCAACATCGCCCTGAGGGATGAAGAAGAGCACAAAACTTTTCTATACTGAACTTAGAACCCTAGCAAAAATCATAATTTTAGCTGTCTCTTAGGGATTATAATAACCAAAAATTAGCAACTATTTCTAAGTACCCCTAAGATTTGTGCAGAAGGGCGCCCAGAAGTTCAAAGGGCTCTACTTGGAGGGTCGGGGACTTAACAAGTAGGTAATAAGCAGAGTTATAAGTACCCGAAAAGGGACCCTAATTGGGGTTATGGTACTTCTAACTCTCTAAAATGACTACATAGTAAGTCCCCCGACTCTGCAAGTATATAAGGGCTCCTTTAAGGGTTCTAAAGGGGATCTATATAGGGGGCCTGAAGGCCCCTACATTACATGTACCACCGGGAGGGCAAGGAGAATTCCTTGCTTTAATCAAGAGTTCTTTCTTCAGGACCGCGTTACAGAATCAAGAAGTGTCCTCAGTTCAAAAACGTTTGAGCCACTGGGAAAGATCTTCAATCATAAGCTTATTAGACTCCGGGATCTTATAGGAAGGACCCCTGGCCTTGGGAAACGCAGAGTTGGTTTTCTGTCGCAGCGATTTTACAGGCATCAGCAATGACTGACTTCTGCTGTTATGGAAAAGGGCGTGGGGCTGCCACATCGTTAGAGTCCAAGACTGTCGTCGTCACTGAATTCTGCTACTTTGCTTCCTCAAAGGTCTTCTAGTTTTCGGGTTTCAAGGTCCAAGGCTAACTTAGTTACTCCCTGGTTTCAAGAATTCATCGCCAGGACACTGCCGGGCGGAGAGCGCCACCGTCCACCTGATGGCTACACTTCCAAGCCCTCCACGATATACAACAAATTCGAGCCTTTGCCAAAAGCTCCCCTTCACCCTAAACTCTCTCTTAGTCCAGGTGGTGGTGGGATGCTTTTGGAAGAGCTCTGCTCTAGAAGAGCATTTAAGCTATTGGGTTCTCGGATAGCGTTAGCGTTAACCCGAAGCGGGCTCTCATTGGGGGGTGTGGCTTACATCCGCGGTTCTTGTCCAGGCCACTCAATAGGAGGAGCCTGCTCTGTCCGGGAGCCCAATCTTGGTACTGCATTTTTGTGCGGCTATTCATGTACCCTGAAGTGCTAAACAGCACAACCGTAAAACCCTCAACCCTGGACCCTGAACCCTGTTTTGGCTTCGGGTTTAGGGTTTCGGGTTTAGGGAACCACTAACCTAAATCCAAAACGCCCGTACTGGGTACCCAGAGACTGCAAAACCCTTTCATTGAGGAGTATAGCTCAAACTGTAGTAGGATCCCTAAACTACATGATCTTAGGTGTATTCCTTGCTTGAAGGGCTTAGCCCAAACATTTGTATCATCAACCGTGGGATCCCACGTATGCTATTGGGGTATGTAATACTATAACTATAATAAGGAATACAAACAATAGGATTACCATAAGCCAACTCCAAGCCCTCACCATAAAACCAAAAAAACCTAATCGTATTGGTACGTATTCAGGCCCCTCATTATCCTAAGCTACTGGGTACTGGGATCCAGCATATGCTATTGAGGTATAGCACACTATAACAACAATGAGGAATACCCACAATAGTAGTGTGTTACGCATTTAAGCCCCGACATTACCCGAAGCTACTGGGATCCCCCAGGGAGCTTTCGCCTCTGCATGGACATCGGTGGCTACGGCTCGGGAAGCCGTGGCCTGCTTCAGGGCTTCAATCAAAGGGACAAAGGAGGGACCCTTAATGGGGACCCCTACCCTATAATGGGCTATATAATAGGTATACAATAACTATATTAAGGGTATATTCCTAGGGGTCCTTATTAAGGGTCCCCCTCCTTTTACCTTTGGGTTCAAGGGAGGCTTGAAAGGGGCTTGAACTTACCTTTGGTTAGTAGGGAATGGAGGAATGGTCTACTATTACTACCATTCTTCCATTCCCTACTAACCAAAGATAAGATTATAGGATTATTAAGGCCCCAATATTATAGTACCCCTATAGATCCCCTATAGTAACCCTTTATAAAGCCCCTTTAATTACCAAAGGTAAGCTTCAAGGGAGGGCTCGAAAGTGCTGGACGAGGGGCTTCAAAGGGCCGACAAGGGAGCCCTGAAGAAGCGGCTGGCACATATTCTACGATTTGCTTAAGAACCCCAAAAAAATAAAAAAATATATTCCTTATGGGGGTAATATAGGGATTATTATTTTTATTTTTTGGGGGTTTCTTAAGCAAATAGTAGTATTTCACTACGGCTTCTTTACCTATGGCCCACAAAGCCGAAAACATACTCAGGAACCCTAAAAGGGTAGGTTTTTTCGGCCACAGGTAGGGTTTAGGCTGGCATTTCTTGTGACGGCTTGTTTGGTGTGTCACGGTGCGTTTAGGGTCATGGAACTAGGAAAAGCATGCAGAGCTTAAGGGCAAGGTTTCGATGGCCTCGTAGCTGTCTAACGTTGTGGTCTTCACAGGGTCCGGGTTAAAATTCTCAAGAGGTTGACAAGGTGATTCGTAAGCCCAACCTGATTTGGAGTCTAGGCCTCTAGCAAGACTCTTACTCTAAAGAAACCACCTGAACCGGACTTTAAGGTGTCTGTCTGTCCTTCTTCTAGTATGGTTGATGGGCCTGCATTAGCTCAAGTATCATCAACTACGTGTGAACTTCGTGCATAGTCCTCAGTAAGGGTAATCCGGTAATGCAGGATTCCTACGTATTCAAACCCCCGTCAGCGATTGTCAGTGCGTCAATTTGCTGGGGCGTCGTAGGGATCTCCACGGACCTTGGCCAGGACGGCCGGGTCTCTTGCCTGAAACTGCGACAAGTACCTCTCGGGTCGTGCCTTCTGTGCCTGAGTCTGTGGCGCCGTCGGCATCACCATCTGCTGCCTTAATCGTTTGAAGTGGCGGAGTGGGTCTCCGGGCTCGACAACTCCAAGATCCCGAGCCTCAGGACTTGAGCAGACAGCGGCCGTACCTTCTTGCTGAGTTGGTGCGCTGACCCCTAAGCCCGAATCCAGGTGCCTTAATGATTTGAGCAGGGTTTGGGGGTGCATGGTAGTATACCTGTACCAAGGAACCGTGTGTAATATCGGTACTTATTCAGATCCCCTAAGCGTCCATCTGTTGATCGTGTTCGGTGTGACCCGAATCCCAAAACCACCAAACCTTGGCATGGTTAAGGTAGAGGGTTTTAGGGCTTGAGAGTTTCGAGGTTTAGGGGTCTAGGGTTTTAAGTTTTGGGGTTTTGAGGTACCCAATAATCATATACTCTCCAAAATCCTAACCTCCCTAAACCCTAAACCCTCAGGGTTTAGGGCTTCAAGCTTCGACTCGCGGAGCTGAACTTCTACGCCTCGTAGCAATCTTCAGGCCGTATCTCGTTGTACCAGCAGCAGCAGTAGCAGGAGAGCGTGAGCAGCAGAAATAGCAGTCGTCGTCGAGGAAGGTGGGCAGGTAGGTAGGGAGGTGGTAATAGAATCAACCATTTCAAGCTATCTGCAAGTTCGTGGCTTTTCAATCGCAAGCAATTCCTAGCTGGAGCAGAAAGCACCACAACCCGCCCTAATGCAGGAATATACGTTCCACTCTACTTAGGATCCGTCTAAAATTCAAAGTACAGTGCAACCAGTCATGACTTGCCTTCCGAGTGGTAGCCGTTACTCCTGACGGGTACGGTCCAGGGTTCAAAGTAAAACAACAGGTCCTGAATGAGTAAGGAGCTGTTCCTTAGGGTTCACTCATATGCATTTAATGCTACCGACCATTAAAATTGAAGTGGTACACATTGTTAAGTATATGTCGCCAACAGCAACGAAGGTGCTCCGGGTCGACTTCAAACTAACCTGTGAACTATGCATGTCCATGGGCACAACTAACCTATGTTTTCAAGAGCTATAAGTGGTCTATCGTGTTTTTCTAACTTGCAAATCCCTTGTTCGGGGTCCACATAAGGGTGGTTGTCAATTTTATGGTCCCTTTCTTGGGTTCCGATTAAAACACGGCACCTAATATTTAGGGTACCCAACGAGGGACCCTAATTTTGATAACTACCCACATAAGTCCATCAGGGGTTTCGGGCCGAAGGGATGGACGTAGGCAAACTTTTGCATATCCGGAGGTCAAGGGCGGCGTCGTGTAGACGCTGGTGCCTGAATTTGTTAAAACCAGGGTTTCCGGTCCGGGTTCGGGTCTAGGGGAATGCTTCTTCTTGTGCTGTCCACTGGGAGACTTATGTCAGGGCATGCAGTCAGGCCTGCAGCAAGTGTGTGTGTGTGTGTGTGCACGTGTTTTTAGGTCTCTGACCGCTGCCCTTGTATAGCACCCCTTTCGTGATCCCTTTAAAGGGACCCCTATAGAACCCTATTAAGGCACCTGTATTATGTGGCACTGAAACCCCGCAACCGCTGCGCTTTCCGGCTCCTCGCATCGTCTCGCAAGCAAGCTCCATGTCGATCAAAGCCTTAGCGTTCCATCGGTAGGGTTTAGGGTCCAGGGTTCAGGGGTTATGATCTTACCCTGAACCCTAAACCCTAAACTCTTATCGCATCTTACCACCCGTGCCTCATAGAGTTTTTACAAGGTTTTTGCTATACTGAACTTAGAGCCCTAGCAACAATTATGATTTTAGCTGTTTCTTAGGGATTATATTAACCAAAAAATACAAGTTATTTCTAAGTACCCCAAAGTTTGTATGGGGTCGGCGGCACCGAAAGCAAGAGCTCGGCTCGGAGTTCGAAGATTTCGACGGTTTAAGGCTTGCCGGAGTCAGGCTTTAGGGGTTTATGGCTTCCCAGAATTTCGGGAGGATCTAGAAAGTAGATCCCCTAATTTGGGACCCTATACTACGAAGGATACTTTACAGGAACCCCTATTAAGGGCGACTTTTTGGATCCTCCCGGGTGTCTGGGTTAGGGCTCTAGTTTAGGATTTAGGGGTTTTGCAGTGCCCTGCTGTGACAACAAGCTAAACAATGGAGGCCCAGAAGGTGTCCTACACGACTAAGTGATTAAGGTCCTTCCCGGGGTCTGCTGGGAACAGCTTTGATAAAACCAACAGTATACATAAACTGTTGTTAATAAAATCAACGTAACAACCGCAATGTTTTTATACAACACAGCTCACAGAGTCTTACCAGTAAGCTTAAACAGAGGGACTGTAGTACAATGTCCGGGAACCAGAAGAGGGAATCTTACCTAAACCCTAAATCTTCAGGGTTAGGGCCTAAACCCCAAATCTTCAGGGTTAGGGCCTAAACCCCAAATCTTCAGGGTTAGGGCCTAAACCCCAAATCTTCAGGGTTAGGGTGTGGAGTTGGGTGAAGGGCTTTAGGGTTTAAACCCCAGACCCTACTTGGAGGGTCGGGGGACTTACTATGTAGTTATTCTAGAGCGTTATAAGTACGATAACCCCAATTAGGATCCCTTTTAGGGTACTTGTAACTCTACTTATTACCTACTTACTAAGTTCCCCGACCCTCCAAGTAGATCTTAGGCCGTTTCCGAAACTACAGCAGCCAAAGAGAAGCCCGGTCCCTGCTTCCAAGGACCCGAGCCCCAAATACAGGCCCCCCCTTAACTTTACGGTAGAAGCCCAAAAGTCGGAAACCCGGGTTCCTAGGGTTCCTTTAAAGGGTTTATAAGGGTTACTACAGGGGATCTATAAGGGTACTATGCTATAAGGGTATTATAATATAGGAGCCTTCCAGTAGAAGCCCAAAAGTTGGAAACCCTATAGGCTCAACCCTTAAGAGTAATGTAAAGGGCATCCCGGCACTATTTGGCCTTAATCCGGTTTCTAACTTTATGGGGTTTACTGTAAGCGGTTTAGGGGCGAGGGTTTATGGAACATCCATATTACTCCAAAGCCACTCTTCCATCCTTCACCTTACATCAAGCCCTCAATGAGCACACCAGCGTAGACCCTGTACCGTGAACCTTGAATTCTAAACTCCAACGTTTGATCCCCGAGCCAATTCCGAAGATTACAAGGCGTGGTTTTTAGGATTGCCATGAAGACATCCTACCCAAGCCCCAAGCCCAATACCCCTTAACACATGAATAATTCTTGAATACTAATATCATACCGCGCCCCCCTCCCCCTCACAGATATGTTCCTTGGTCGAGGTGCATTGAACTCTCTAGTTGCGTGGCTGACCCGACAACACCCCCGTTTAAGTTCAGCCATGATTTGAATTGGGTTTTGGGGGATGTTCGAGTATATGTATGCATGGACCAGAACGGAATGGTAGCACCAAGTATTCCGATCCATCGACGGACGCTGAGCCCTGAATCCTTTTCTGACCCTTCTAGTATCTAAACCCCAAAGCCCTGCAGAATTTCAGGGCCCCGAAGCGCACTGCAAGAGTGCCACGGTTCCCGAGAGCTTCAGGAATTTCCTTGGGTCGCTTAGACTCATTTAGGCTCAATGTTCGGGGTTTAGGGGTTTAGGGTTTAGGGGTCTAGGGGTTTAGGGGTTTAGGCTTTAGGGACTAGATATAGACTGTGTAGTGGTACTATTCAAGTACTGAGATCTTGTTTCCGGAATATTAGCAGTCAAACTAACCTTAAGACCCCCAAGTGTTGAAGGTTGGGGCCATTTGGTCCATTAACTTATATACTTGTTAAGGCTTCTTGTTTTGTAATAGGAACCCAGAAAGCTGAAAGTTAAAGAGTGTACCACTCAACAGCCTGGTTATAGTATAGTAACACTACGGAACCCTTTTGGTTTTAGGCTAGGGCTTTACTTGGAGGGTCGGGGGACTTACTAAGGAGTTACTACTGTAGAGTTCTAAGTGCCATCTACCCCAATTAAGATCCCTTTTCGGGAACTTATAACTCTACTTACTACCTACTTACTAACTCCCTGAACCCTAAACCCTATAGTGCCCGTATAGAGCCCTTTAAAGGAACCCTTATAATCCCCTTTCAAGGAGCCCCTACTAAGTCCCCCGACCCTCCAAGTAGCGCCTTAGTTGGACAACTGAATGATTTTGCGTGGGTTTGGGTCTATGTCGGCACACTGTTGATGGACAAAATCCTGCATTACCCATTATAAGGAATATACCATAGTTCCCATAGTTTAGAGTCCTTAGGGTCATGCAGGATATTGTCCATCAACAGTAGTTTGGCCAACCCGTAAACTAGAACCCTCTGAAGCAGATGGGCGCTAAATCGTAAATCCTAAACCCTGAAGCCCGTAGGTCTATCGATCTCGTAAACATGGAGCTCAAAATGACATTGCCCCTCAGGCTCAAACAAACCCCGGCGCCTGAAGGACAAGAACTCCCTCACAACAAAAACGACTGGACACAAACACATGTGCTGCTGTCCCGCGTCGTTGCTTCGATGTCAGAGTTTTTCAGTTGCTTAAGTCGAAGGATTCTTCAGCTGATCCTGCACTGCGCTACTGTCGCCGCCACGGTCAGCAGCACCCCAGGTCACGACCGATCCGTCGCCAAGAATGGCAGCAAAAGCTCTGGCAGTGGCTTGGATCTGCTGCACATTCTTCAACTGATCCTCCACAGCACTAGTGTCACCGCCATAGAGAGAATTACCCCAGGCCACGACGGATCCATCGCCAAGAATGGCTGCAAAAGCAGCGTTAGATGCGTGGATCTGCTGCACAGTGTTCAGCTGGTCTTGCACAGCACCACTGTCGCCACCGCAGCTAGCAACACCCCAGGTCACAACCGATCCTTCGTCAAGAATGGCAGCAAACGCGCCATGGCAGGCCTGAATGTGCTGTACATTCCTCAGCTGATCCTGCACAGCCCGGCTGTCACCGCCATGGTCAGCACGACCCCAGGTCACGACCGATCCATCGTCAAGGATGGCAGCAAAAGCGCTTCTTGTGGCTTGGATCTGCTGCACATTCTTCAGCTGATCCTGCACAGCACTACTGTCACCGCCATGGTCAGCACGACCCCAGGTCACGACCGATCCATCGCCCAGACTGGCAGCAAAAGCACTTTCAGAGGCTTGGATCTGCCGCACATTTTTCAGCTGGTCCTGCACAGCACTGCTGATGTCACCGCCAAAGCCAGGTTCACCCCAGGCCACGACCGATCCATCGCCAAGAATGGCAGCGAAAGCGTAGCAAGAAGATTGGATCTTCTGCACGTTCTTCAGCTGACCCTGCACGGCAGAACTGTCGCCACCGTAGGTAGCAGCGCCCCAGGTCACAACCGATCCGTCGTAAAGAACGGCAGCAAAAGCACCCTGCAAAATGCTTTGTGTGGCTTGGATCTGCCGCACATTCTCCAACCGGTCCTGCACAGCTCTACTGTCTCCGCCATGGCAAGCATCACCCCAGGTCACGACCGATCCATCGCCAAGAATGGCAGCAAAAGCGCCGCAAGAGGCTTGGATCTGCTGCACATTCTTCAGCCGATCCTGCACAGCACGACTGTCACCACCATAGCGAACAGGACCCCAGGTCAGGACCGATCCGTCGCTAATGAGGGCTGCAAAAGCACCTAAAGAGGCTTGGATGTGCTGCACATTCTTTAGGTGATTCTGCACAGCACTACTGTCGCCGCCGCATCTGGCATCACCCCAGGTCACGACCGATCCGTCGCCAACAATGGCTGCGAATGAGCTGCGAGTGGCTTGAACCTGAACACTGCTCACTTGCAGTGTCAGTACATCACCCGTTTGTATCCTGGCATGCTTGATCGGTGCACTTACATCCAGAACGCTTCCAGAGGCATTCAGCAGGCGCCCCCTTGGGACTCCCAGTGCGGTCTCTGTCCGATGTTTCCTGGGTTGGCCTTTAAACACCATGAAAAACGTTTATGAAAAGGGTCCCGTATAGACACAAACAAGGAAAATAGAAAGTGTCCCAAAATCCAACCTAGTTTCAGTGATCCGACTTCTTCATCCAGACCGGCTTCCACAGTGGCTGAGTTGCCGCTGAGCAGTGCAACTGTCACAATCACCGACATGAGAAGAAACGGACTTTGTAAAGAAATGTACAACCTCTAGCATGGTTTAGCTCCAATGATGTGGACAGCTCTACTAGGTGATGATGTCGAGAGTCCCCAAAACTACCTATAACTAGAGCTCTATGTCAAACAACAAGGGAAACTAGCAACATATCCCAAGGTCGATACCTAGTCTAGTTCTGACTTGCAAAGGTATGTAGCCAAGACATGCTATACAATGCTCAGTGTGCAGCTCAGAAATGCTAGACCTCAACAGCGGCATGGCTGAGGGGTTTGGGGTTTTCAAGTTTTAGGATTACGGGTTTGGATTGTCGTGGGACTTATTAAGTGGCTATTTCATATAGTTATTATAAGGTACCATAACCCCAATCAGGGTCCCTTTTAGGGTACTTATAACTCTACTTATTACCTACTTACTAAGTCCCCCGACCCTCCAAGTAGGCTTGAGAAGTTCGGCTCCTACGGGTGCGAGGCTTTCAGCAGCCTCGAAAGGAAGCCCCCAAGGTCTAAACTTGAAAAACCTGCTAAACATTAAGCCCTAAACCCTTAATGTAGGGGCCTTAATCATTAGAAAAGGGCCTGGGTGTATATTACACTATAAGTGTAACAAGGAACCCCGCCAAAAAAGTATTGGCAATTATTTAGGCCCCTATATTGTTTAAGGTTTAAAGGTTATAGGATTACGGTCCAAGGTTCAGAATTTGGGGTTTAAGGCTTATGGCTTTCCATCAAGCCCAAGCTCTAAACCCTCAAGCCCTCAACGCCGATCGAAGCACTTGGGTAGTTGTCAAAATTAGGGTCCCTTTGTGGGTACCTTGAATATTAGGTGCCCTATTATAAGAAGGACCCCAAAAGGGACCCTGATGTTGAAAACCAGCCAGTTGAGGCCCCTATACTGAAACCCTTAGAGGAACACAAGAACTTGAGACCCCTTTGAAGGAATCCATTTGAGAAACCTTAAATCCTAAACCCGATTATAATAACCCTTATGGAACTTGGAGGGTCGGGGGACTTAGTAAGTAGGTAGTAACTAGACTTATAAGTACCCTAAAAGGGACCCTAATTGCTTATAAGTCCCTCAAATAACCAGTTACTAAGTCCCCCGACCCTCCAAGAACCCTTTCAAGGCCCCTAGAATTCGGCCCCGGTCTCCGTTCTGAGTGCTGCTTTCTGGCTGCATCCGCCTTGAGGCCTCGCATCGGAAAGCTTGAAAACTCCGATTTCGGGAGTTTCCGAAAATTAGGGGCTCCTTTAAAGGGATCCATAAGGGTTCTATAAAGGGTTTAGGGTTTAGAGTTTCCGAAATATAGGGGTACCTTATTCTGGGGTCCTTATTATAGGGATCCTACTATTTAGGGGTACTATATTAGGGTCCCCTATTTTCGGAAACTCCGATTTCGGGATCTTAATGTAGGGGGCTTCATGATTAGAAATAGGGTTTTGGGGGTTCTTTCTTATAGGTATAGCAAAATGGGACCCCACGCCCCAAACCCTATTCTAATTATTGAGGCCTCTACATTAGTTGGTAAAAGGAACCTGTTAAGGATCACTACCCTGTAAAGGAAGCCGTTTTAGAATAGTGATCCTTAAAATGGTTCCTTTAAAACGCATCTACCAGGGACTTGTTATTTCGAGATCGCAATAATCAGAACAGTTTTATTTTGGTGTTCTACGATAGCTGTAATAAGGAAGCCCTCAAAATGGGAACTAGGAGGTCGGAATAAATTTGTCAGTCATATGGGTAGTTGTCAAAATTAGGGTTCCTTTCTGGGTACCCTAAATACGGGGTTAAGGGTTAAGCGTGTAGAGTTCAGGGGTTTAAGGGTTTTCAAGGGCTTTGGGCTTAGGTGTTCGGGCTTAAGGGGTCGAGGTTCAAGGATATGGAGGTCCGAATATTGTAAGGCCAATTCTATACTGAACTTAGAACCCTAGCAAGCATTATAATTTTAGCTGTTTCTTAGGGACTATAATAACCAAAAATTAGAAACTATTTCTCAGTTCCCCTAAGAATTTAGCAGGGGGTCTGCTTCCAAGGTTCTCGCTTGGTGTCTTCACAATTGAGAGAAGACACCACCCCTAAACGTTAAAATTCTCGACCCGAAACCCCCAAAACCTAGATCTCTTATCTCCTATACCCTAAAAGCCTAAACTCCTAGATCTCTCAAAAACCCTCAACCCTAAACCCCTAAACTCCTAGATGTCTTCTCTCCTACACTCTAAACCCGAAAACCCACAACCCTAATTGTCGTGCCTTGCGATGCCACGGCTGCAAGCCGCGCAGAGACTGCAGAGAGCTTCTGGAGCAGGCGCATAACCTGCGTTGAGGAATAGGGTTCAGCTTTTTTTTGTAGCTCCTTCTTTCCTGCTTCACAAGGGTTTAGGGGTTTAGGGTTTTGGAGAAGTCAGCTTACGTTCCAGGGGCCTCCAGACTGTGATGTAAGTTATATGAATTCCTTGGGCCTTAAAACTATGATTCAAGGTATATTCCTTAAACAAGGGGTATCGGGCTCTCTGAGTTGCTCCGGGACTCAGCCGTAAACCGAACCCTGCATCCTGAACAGCACCTGCAACCCCAAATCCCGAACCAAGCCGTAACTGCAACAGAAGTCCGTCTTTTGGGCTCAGGGTGTGGAGCTCGGAACTTAAGATTTCGGACAACTACAGCGCGGGCTTCGGGGTTTACAGCTTAGGACTAGGGGCATGAGGGCTTGGGTCTTCGGGTAACCATATATGGGTAATTCTCAAAATTAGGGTCACTTGTTGGGTCCTCATTACAATACGGCACCTAATATTTGGGGTGCCCAAAAGGGGACCATAATTTTGACAACCACCCATATATGGGCAATTCTCAATATTAAAGTCCCTTTTCAGGAGCCCAATCAAGGCGGCACCCCTTCAAAAAGGATAAGCGGGGGACAAGAATCTAGAGAACTACCCATACAGAGCTGACAGCCCCTGCTGCGAAGGCTTCTTCGCTACCAAGGTTCCGCAGCTGCGGTGCTGTGCTGGAATCGCAAGAAGTGGTTTGGCTGAGGGATCCAGCTTGGCGGTTCAGGAAAGAGTGCCAGCAGTGTAGGGGTCTGCAGGATTGGAATAGGCTCTTATGTGTTAGGGTGATGTACTCCAGTAGGAAATCGAAACTGCTACTATGAGGTCAGCTGAAAGAAAAGTCGATGACCATGGTGCAAACACCTGCTGCAAAGCTTCTCGAAAGAGCGGTCATGAAAGCACACTGTGCCGGCATGCAACGATCTTCGCCAAACAATGCCAGAAGAAGCATGTCTTGTGCCGCTTTGTAACTTCGTGAGCAGACGACAAGGGGAACCACAGAAGAACTGGGGCCAGGACTCTAGCTTTAAGGAGAGCCCTAAACCCAAAACAGCCCAGGCCTTGTCGCTCTGCATGTCTGAGTTTTCCTGAGGCTTTTCAGGGGAAAAAAGCTTTGTGGTTCGGTTTCGACTCAGTCTCGCCCGGCAACGACACTTGGAATATTGTGGCTTGGGGTTTAGGTTAGGTACTGCCCCCATACAGTAAGAGTCTCTATAATATAAATGGGGCTACTATTAAGGTAAGTTAGACACAAAGCAAAAATGCTTTAACTAAACCTCGGGGATTTCGATAGGGTTCATAGATTGAGGGATTCAGCTCGTGCAGGCTCGCACGCCCTCCCCCAGATCTAGTTTAGTTCTTTCTGCACACGCTTCACCCTAAACTATAAACCCCCTAACAACCCTAAACCCTAGTAACCCTAATACCTTAAGCCCCAAACCCCACCCCCTAAACTAACACCCTAAACTCTCAACCCCTAAGCCTTACACTCTGATACCCTACGCAACAAACAATCCTAAACCCTAATACCTTAAACCCCAAACCCTACACCCGACAACGCCGACAACCCCTAAACCAAACAGCTTCCATCTGGGCCGGTCACCGGATTCTGAGGAGACTGCCCTCATTAATAATAAAAAAAACCCGTTCTTTATCCCTAGTTCTCCTTCCCGGAAGCACCGGTAGGATCCAAAAAGTAGATCCCAGGCAATCCTATAAAGTACCCTTTAGTAGTTAAGGTCCATGGTTATGTTACTTCACTAAGCGGTCCCAGCAAAGTTGAAACTTGCTAAGCTCGACCAAAATATGTAAAGGCCAACAAGCTTAAAGTGCCCCATTGGCCTAAGCGATAAATCCCGTATAGAATGCTTGCAGACCCCTTGTAAGGAACCCGTTTAAAATTCCTTGTGGAAAAGATAGGTGGACTCTTTTTCTTTCTGTTCAGACTTAGCAATTTCTATTGGTTTTGGGAGTGCGCGGTCCTCAACCACAAACCCTTAAACCCTAAACCCCTAAACCCTAAACCCCTAAACCCCTAAACCCTAAACCCTAAACCCCTAAACCCTAAACCCTAAACCCCTAAACCCCTAAACCCCTAAACCCTAAACCCTAAACCCCTAAACCCTAAACCCTAAACCCCTAAACCCCTAAACCCTAAACCCCTAAACCCTAAACCCTAAACCCCTTGGGGGCTTGTAGTGTGAGGAGTTTGAGCTTTGAGGCTCTTGGGATATAGGGTTGGGGGGGGGGGTTAGTTTGGGGGTTTAGGGTTTAGGGTTTTAAGGTTTAGGGTTTTAGGGTTTAGGGGTTAGAGGAGCTTAGACGGAAAGACCTCTCTTATCAGAAATACCCTTCGACATATACTTGGGAATCTCATTTCGAGCAGAGGTATGCTTCTGAGTTAAGGCGCGTTGCAATCTCTGAATGTGCGGTTTCGGGTGGAGGATTTCAGTGTTGTTGTTTTCATGCGCAGGTTTATGCAACACCTTCTTATATTCAGACCACCGGGAGGATCTGGAAAGTAGATCCCCTAATTTGGGGCCCTATACTATTAAGGGTACTTTTCAGGAACCCCCCCATTAAGGGATCTACTTTCTGGATCCTCCCGGGTCTGGGAAGGAAGCCCCTAAACCCTAACCTTTCGATCCCTTAAAGGAACCCTTATAATACCCTTTACAGGACCCCCAAACCCAAAACCCCTAAAACCCCGAATCTGGGTTCCTAAGGCTGCAGGCTTATGCTTCTCTAGGGAGGGTTTAGGGCTTCAGGTTCACCAGGTTCAGGCGAATGCAAAGCTCGAAGTGCGATTGAAGGGTCCTAAACCCTGAACTCTAAGCCCCTAAACTCACAACTCCTAAACCGTAAGCCCAGAAGGCCGTACCTACACCTATACCATCCTTAGAACCATAATACAAAAATCGTATTTTGATATTCTCTTGGGTTTTATATGTGCAAAAAGAAAAAAACAATTCCTGAGGAGACCTGAGACACCCCATGCAAGCTTCTCGTTTTCGGCCAGGGTTCCATATTGCCGATGAGATGAAGCAGCAGCTCCTCCACAACCTCAGAACAAAGCGAGAGTTTAGTACCTACTGTACCTGTAGCCGAAAAGACACACCTTTTTAGGGTTCCTTATTCTGGTTTCTGTATATAGTTCCTCAAAAAAGGTAGGTCTTTTCGGCTACAGGTCACTGTACTGGGGAGGATCATGGGACTTAGTAAATAAGGTTATAAGTACCTTAATTGGGGTTCTAAGTAGTTATCAGTATAGTTACCATATTTGTAACTCGAGTTGCTAAGTCCCATGATCCTTTAAGTAGACCCAGACCCCCGGGAGGATCCAGAAAGTAGATCCTCTGATTTGGGGCCCTATACTACTAAGGGTACTTGTCAGGAACCCCCATTAAGGGATCTACTTTTTGGATCCTCCCGGGGGTCTGGGTTAGTACCTACTGTAGGGTTTAGGGTTTTTGGGTCTGGAGATCAGAGTTGCGGGTCAAAGGAGTCGCGGGTTTACGGGCTGAAAGTTCAAGTTTTAGAGTTGATATACTTACTTGTCCAGTACCTTGGGGGGACTAAAGGTTAAGCTTTGGGAATATAGGTAGTTGTCTCAATATTGGGGTCCCCTTTAAGGTCACTTTACAAGGGGGCCGTACTATATTGGGGACCTAAAAAGGGAGCATAACTTACAGAACTACACAGAGAGGGACCATAGTGCCCCAAAATGGCTGAAGGTTACCTAATATAGAGGCTTTACTAATTGGACTAGGGCTTTCGGGCCCACTATACTATAACTACAATAAGGAGCCCCAAAATACGGTTGATGATATAAATCCTGCATTACCCAGAATAAGGAATATACCATAAATCCCGTTGTTTAGGGTCATGCAGGTAATGCAGGATTTGTATCATCCACCGTATAACTACAATATGGAGCCCCGAACTTAATTATGTAGGCGCCTGTATTACTCTGCCACAAAGACTAGGCCCCTGAGTAGCCGCCTGTTTAAAGGGTACTCTTCTTCCTACTACTCGTTTTTCAGGAGGAGACCCCAAAACAGAAAGGTCAAAAGGGTACTACCCAGGAACCAAGAAGAGTAGAAACATCAATACTGCTCATTTCCCTAAACCCCCATCTAATGATTTAAGCATGCCCGGTGTCCCAACTCCGCAAAAAGCAAAGGCAGTATAGGAGTTACGTTTAAAGAAACAAGCTTCAGCATCGCAGGTGCAGTGCCAAAAGTCCAGAAATTGAATTCTCAGAACCTTAGCCTCAAAACGCATGCTTGCTGCAAATGCTAGTGACTAGTGACTTGGAGAATAAGCATAAAACATATAATGGTGAGAACAATCAGAATAATAAGTCGATGAGTCTGATGCATTGTTTTGGGCAGGATGACGGTCAATTTCCGAGTATCATGATAATGCTGACGACCATGGCGACCATCAGCATCATCATCGCCGTAGTCGTCTGTGCTCTCGTCTTTTGCCATCGATGTCACTATCGTCATGTTCATCATCAACACCACCAACCCTAAACCCTAACCCCTAAACGATAAATTCGAAGTCGTCATAATCATCGCTGCCGTCGACACATCATCATCGTGAGAGGCCGCGGCCACCAAACGCGTGGTTTGTGCCGCCAGAGTCCTCAGCGACAAAAAGCTGCCATCATCTGCGAGACTTCAAGGCTCTGTTGCATTACACATTTTTTATATTACCTTACGTTGTCTTACACTATACTACAACACACACACATATATATATATATATATATATATATAAATGCTATCTTTAGCACAGTCTTACACGACTTGCCTGTTTGTGCATATCTTCGCCTCAGTGGCTCAAGTGGGTGCTTCAGGCTCCCATTGGGCATTATGACGCTCTACATCCAATATCCCTTAGTTAAGCAATGTATCTCAACCTAGGATACCCAGTAACCTAAGAATAAAAAGGCCTCTCTTTTTGGTATTGGGTAACTTTATAAGGAACCTAGGACTACAAAAAGGGAATAAGGGTACTACTGGAGATCCTAGCAACTCATATTAAGGATCCTACTATAATTTAAGGTTTATTCCTTAAACTCAGGGGTATTGGAGTCTCTGGGTCCCTCAGCACTTTTTAAGGATCCTTTTATAATTCAAGGTAGAGCTGCTGCCCATTGAGGCTCCTATCCCAGAGACTCCAGTATCTTTTTTTGGGAATGTACCTTAAACCATGTTAACGATCCTAATATAATTCAAAAAGTATATTATATTCCTTAAATAAGGGATGTTGGAGTCTCTAGGATGTCAGAGGCTCTTATTCTAAACTCGCGTAAAAAATTTGCAGGGATCCTACCCCAGCGTAGGTTTGGGAAGTTTCAAAAGAAACCTACTTGGAGCAGTGACCTCCTTGATTTGGAAACCAGCCCTATAAATCCTCATCGCCTAGGCCCCAACCCATCAATCCTGGACTACAAACCCTTGCAGAAGACTGACAGGACCGATAATTCCTGCAAGCTCTTGCAAAAATGTCACCACAGAGCCCGTATAAACCTCTACAAACTCTGCTACAATGCAATAAGTCAAGAGTGACAGTCATAATTTGATGGCCTCCTGGGTTTATACTATAAGGCAATTGAAATAAGACGCTGATTCCCCTCAACCCTAAACCCTAAGTGACTCCGCAGACCCCGTGGAGGATCCCGCAAGTAGATCCCTTTTCACATCGAACTTGGTACCCTTGCAAGAAATTCTAGTTTGAGCTGTTTCGTAAGGATTGAGTTATCAGAAAATTATAAGTACACCGAAGTTAGGGGGTTCTATTGTCTAGACCCTCCCACCGCTCTGGGTGCTAAGGAACACTCACTAGGTGTCGGTTTGAACAGTCCCCAAGACTACTGATAATTATGGCTCTATACCACGCAATAACAAGGCAAGTTAAAGATTATCCCAAACCGATACCAACCCACCCTAAACCCTAAACCCCAAACTAGGACCCAAAAAAGGACCTAAACAACAACCATAAGGTTGGGATATCCCAGAATCCTTACTTTAATTAAGCCGTTAAGATAAAGATATCCCACCCCACAGTTTATGTTTGGGTGCTTCTTTGGCTTCCACAAAAACCCTGAACCCCAGAAATTTTCATCCCAGGACCAAACCCTAAACCTTAGACCCTAAAGCCTATCCCTTGAACCCTTAACCCCAGAATTTTCATCCCGGACGGGCTGCAGCCGTTCATCTTGCCGCTTCCGAAGAATGGAGGGGCTGTCCTACTTGGAGGATCGTGGGACTTAGCAACTAGGGCTCCTTAAAGGCTCTTTAAACGGTTCCTTAAAGGGATTCATAGAAGTTTAGGGTTCAACAGATCATAGGACTTACTAACTTGGAGGATCATGGGGGACTTAGTGTCCAAAATCCCTGAATTAAGAATATACCCCTACGGGTTCCTTAAAGGGATCTATAAGGTCCAGAAAGGGATCTATAGGGTTTAGGGTGGTACTGGAGGATCATGGGACTTAGAAGCTAGGGTTCCTCAAAGGGCTCTGTACGGACTTAGAGGGGTTCAGGGCTTAAGGGGTCATGGGACTTAGTACCCAGAGACTGGATGTTGGAGAAGGGTTCCTTCAAAAAGGCTCCTTAAAGGGATCTATAAGGATTCTTGAGGGGGAGTTTAGGATTACTTGGAGGATCATGGGACTTAGTAGCTAGGGCTCCTTAAACGGGTCCTCAAAGAGGACACTGAGAACCCAGAGACTCCAATATCCCTTATTTCAGTACTTACTATACTTCAAATTTCAATAGGATCCCTAATATGATTTAGGGTATATGCCTTACTAAAGGATGTCGAAGGGTAGCTAGGGCTCCATAAATTGAAAGATTACCTCAAGAGGTCTAGAAGGATACATAAGGGTTTATAGGGTTCAAAGGATCATGGGACGTAGTAACTAGGCTGATAATTGAATTTGTTGTTGAAGCCCCTATGCTCAGAGCACCTGTCAAGTCTTCTGTTTAAGCCACCTAACCTCAGTTTTCCAGGCTTCAAAGCTTGTTCGGTTTACGGTTCACTATACTGAGCTTAGAACCCTAGCAACAATTTTAATCTTAGCTGTCTCTTAGGGGTTATCATAACCAAAAACTAAAACGTATTTCTAAGTACCCCTAAGTTCAAGGCTTAGGTTTAAGGTTTTGGGTGTAAGGCTTAGGCTTCAGGCTTAGGGTTATCTGCAGGCCCGCAGGTGCCTCACTTGGAGGGTCGGGGGACTTACTAAGTAGTTATTTCAAAGAGTTACAAGTACCATAACCCCAAGTAGGGTCCTTTTTAGGGTACTTATAACTCTACTTATTACTGACTTACTAAGTCCCCCGACCCTCCAAACAGCAATCACTCAAAAACGAAAGATTGGCTTGGACCGCTTCGGGCTGCGCGGGGCAGGAGGTGTAGATTTTATGGTGTGGGGTGTGTACACGTCAATCCAGAACGCCAGTCAGGACGTACAGAGAGGAAGCCAACGGCTTGAGGGCAATCGAAATTTGGGAGTTTCCGAAAATAGGGGACCCTAGTATAGTTTGTATAGTACCCTAAATTGTAGGATCCTTATTATAAGTACTCCGAAATAAGGTACCCCTAATTTTCGGAAACTCCCATATCGTGGACGAATCCAGTGCTTTGAGGCCGATGCTACCTCACCGGCTGAACAAACGACAATGCAGCAGGAGCTTTCCCATCAACACGAGCCGCGCTCGTGCGTGGTCGGTGTAGGCCCGGTGGGTCTTTACCAGTTGCAACGTGAGTCTGGCAACGTCCCCAGGTTCTCATCAGTACTCTCATGGCATTTTTGGGGAGGTGATTTGTTTGCGGTGCTCCGGCCGTGAGATGCTCTGGAACTACCGTCCGGCCACAATGAGCCGCAGGACTGCTGTAAACTCGAGACCCTGCACCCGAACCTCCGCAACCGCCTACTCCAAAACGAAACCCTGAACCATGCACCCTAAACCAAACCTCAAACCTCAACACCCTAAGCCCAAAAACACACAACCCAAAGTTCTACTAAACCAAACCCTAAAAACCCTAACCCCTGTGCTTGCCCCTACACGCTGCTGGAGGTTCAGGGTTTGGGGGTAAGGCTATTTTGGGATGTATGCGGGTACTTTAGCGGCCTAAATAATTACCTATGCTATGTTGGGGTTTCTTATTATACAGTTTAATGGGCACCAAAACGCTATTCGAATTATTAAGGCCCCAAAATTATGGAACCCTACTATATATCCGTTTCAGGAAATCTTTAAAGTAATTCCGGGTACTCCCAAAGCCTCAGGCCGTTATCTCAAGGTTCAGGGGGCTTTGTGAGTAGGCTTTCGTTTTTTTTGGAAAGAACCATCATGTGTGGTAGTTAGAACTCCAAATGAGGCTTTCCGAAAATAGGGCCAAATAGTAGGATCCTTATCATAAGGACCCCAAAATAAGGCACCCCTAACTTTCGGAAACTCCCAATAGGACTTCTACTTAAGACTTAAGACGTCGCTTGACCGGAAGAACCCCAAACCCCAAACCTTAGTGAATGAGAGTTTCAGAAATACTGGACGCCAACTACACCCGAAACTTACCTTTGGTTAGTAGGGAATGGAGGAATGGGGTACAAGTATAACTACCATTAATGCCATTCTTCCATTCCCTACTAACCAAAGGTAAAGTCTGCAGCCACCGAAGTCGGAGAGAGTTCAGGGCTTCCCCCTGACTGTGCCGTAGCCTAAACCCAAAACATCCAACACGTACAAACAACTTAGTTGCCGAGTGCATAAGCCCAAAAAGATTTAAACTTTCAGTTTTAAGAAGGTTTCATTATTCCAAAAAGTTTAAAGTTTATAAACTCAGTTACTAAGACAAACATCCAGCAATCCTAAACATTTGGGTAATCCTCGGGTGAGCAAGAATATATATATATATATATATATATATATATATATACATATATATATATATAGGTGGTTGCCAAAATTAGGGTCCCTTTTTGGGTAATCTAAACAATAGGTGCCGTATTATAATTGGGACCCAAAAAGGGACCATAACTTTGGCAACCGTATATATATATATATATATATATATGTATACACGTATACACACCATAATCAGGGCTATAAGTAATTACACGCATAGCTACCGTCTTCGTGACCCTAGTTACGAAGCCCCATGATCCTTACTAGACCCCTATAGATCCCGGTCGACCCTTTGAAGGAACCCTGTAAGAAGCCCTAGCTACTAAGTCCGATGATCCGAGCAACCCTGAACAGCTTAGGCACTAACCTAAACCCCAAGCCCACAAATACACAAAATGCAGCCCTACAACAATTCCAAAAGCCTTAACGCCCGAAAGCCCTAAAACAATCCCGAACCCCTAAACCGCCTAAACCCCTACATCCCAAACCCCAAAACAGCCCTCAACCCCTAGACTCGTAAACTCCCAAACCCTTAGACTCTTAAACCCCCTGAACTCCTAAACCCCCTAAACTCCTAAACCCCCTAAATCCCCTAAACCCCTAAAACCCCTAAATCCGCAAATCCTAAACCCTAAACCCCCCTAAAACCACTCAAATCCTGTCCTTGCCGTAGATGAAGCTCGGCACGAAGATGTGCGCCGGATGAGCGGGTCGGGAGTCCATGGACACCTGGGGATTTTGGGATTTTGGGAGTTTAGGAGTTTACGTTTTAAGAGTTTGGGATTTTAGGATTCTGGGATTTTGGGAGTTTAGGGCGAGTTTAGGGGTTTAGGAGTTTAGGGGATTTTAGGATTTCCGGATTTTGGGATTTTAGGATTTAGGATTTTAGGATTTAGGATTTTGGTATTTTAGGATCTTGGGATTTCGGGATTTTGGGAAATTAGGATTTCAGGATTTTAGGGCGATCTTACGGGTTTAGGAGTTCAGGGGTTTAGGAGCTTGGGGCTTTTGGGGTTTAAGGGCCGAAGAGCTATGGCTGTATAATAAGGGCACAAAAAAAGCACATAAGCAAAACATTACAGGGATGTCCCATGTAAACCCCCTTATAATGAAGCCCAATAAGGTAGAGATATCACTATAACGCACTCGTGCCATTGGGCGGACGCACAGCAAAAGCGGTGCAATCCGCGGGCGAACAGTTCCAGGTCACTGGTCGGTCAAAGAGGCCTGGCTAAGAAAGCCTTCGTGTCGGCTTTTCTGCCCTGTACAAAGAGGCCAAGAGCAGCGCGAGCCCGAAGGTAAATGTCAGAAGGAACCCCGACAACAATCCCGTCAAGACCAAAACGAATACCGAAAGTAGAAAGATCAAGGTTCTGAACCAAAAGACCTTCAAGCCCCAGACTGCGCAAAGTTGGGCGCATTGCCCGACGGATTAAAGACAAGCGAGCAGCGACTGTGTGCGCTGCAGGCGGAAAAGCAACCTCCGAAGAATCGACCCATCTGCCTTCATGATTGCAAACCGGATAGAAGTACTGACCACTGCAGTGAAGCACAAAGACCAGCTCAAGCCATGAAAGCCTGTAGGCCGCGTCGGACTCAGCATCCAAGTGAAATAAGAAGCTGCACAGCTCTCGCACGAAAGATGATGGGAGTCCTGTGTTGCTGGCTGAAACGATGTTGACCCAGTTCACGGGCAAAGTATCCTCGAGGTCCAGGGGGCGCTCAACCACAAGGCCTGGAGGAGGCAAGTGAACTGTTTCCTCATCTTCTGGTCCTGATGTCAAAGCTCCGACCTGGGTTCGTTCGGCGACGCCAAAGAATATGGCCCGCAAAGCCAGCAGTACACGAAGAAGATTGTCATGGTAGCCTACAGCTTGCTGATGAACTTCCCGGAAAGCGTAAGAGCGGTTATTGTTAGCCACTCCAGCAAGCCTGTCAGCATGATCATTGTGGACCGCCAGCCAGTCCTCCAGCGGACTTTCCGTCAGTTTGACGTCAAGATGCGAAGGGGTATGCCGCACCAGAAAACGCCGCGGGTCAACCTGAGACAGGAGGTCTCTCAAGGTGCACCAAAGATCAGCATCAGCACCCCCAGGAATGCCGCCGCACTCCTGAATGTGTACGACGCCGTTGCGGACGTTGTCGGCATCGGTCCAGACAATGCAGCAATGGCCAGTGTACAGCGCCCATCGAACCGCAGCCGTCATGGCAAGGATCTCCGCACGAGGAGCTGACTGAGTCAGCCCGGGAACCTGACCACAGGCAATCGCCGCACCAGTGTTGGCCAGGATAAGACCCCAGCCAGCCAAAGCGAAGTCACCATGCCCGAACTCACTGCAGGAGCCATCCGTGAAAAGAAATTGCCAACCTGACCCCGAACCTGAACTGAAGAAACAACCCGTAGTATCGGCAATGCACAAGAGCTGCTGTCGAAGTGCTGGCAGAAAAGGGTTTTGCGACGGTAACAGATGGTGGGTCAGAGAGACAGGAAGACTGTCCCATTGATCCAGGACCCATTCGTGGCCGGTCCGTGCCTCAGCAAAGCGGGGGCAGTGTCGGATGCGGTGCTCAACGGAGTCCTCCACGCCACAGCGCGCACAAAGCCCGTTCTGGCACAAATCAAAGCGGGCCTGTTGCTGGCCACACCAGAAAGCGCCAGACTGGATCGCTGAAAGTCGGGACAAATCTAGAGCGCTGAGCGATCGCTGACAGGCGCGGAGCAGCGCCAAGTCAATGCCCCGCAAGTCTGCCATGCTGTGGCGATGCTGGTGCTGAAAAGCGACAAATCGCAGCCAAGCCTGCTGGAGCATTCGACGGAGCGACGGCTCCGGAAGCGAAATCAAATCATGGCAAAGTCCGTCGTGGTCTAAGACCTGGGGTGGCTCGAGAATGGCCCAGCCGATCTGCGCAAGGACTTCAGCGAGCTTGTTGAGAGGACCGTGCAGGGGGCGTCCGTCCCGAAGCTTGTAGAACAGGCGCCAAGCCGCCAGGAAGTTGGAGACTTTGTGCGACATCCTGCGAATGTCAAGGACGCACTGCAGCAGCTGATAAAACCCTGGGTCTGCCGTGGAGGGCTCAGCTAGGCTGAGGCGCAGCATCGAGCTGCTGCCACCCGGCCGGATGCCAATTGCATTGGCGGCTGCCGTACGGAGACTGTGCAGTTCAGCAATTGAGACCGGAACCCCAGCAATGCCGTGTAATGCCCGAGCCCAAAACTTGGCGGGCAGAGCCAGCAGCTTCAGCACAACAGGGGCCCGAGAGCGCCGAAGTTTGCCCCACAGGGGCGCAAGAGCCTTGAAGCGAGCCCGGAGCGGAGCGTTGCGCACTGCAGAGCTGAAAGACATAATGCCGCCCAACTCACGGGCTCCCGAAGAGACAGTGAGGCCAGTAGAAGCCAGAGCCGAACGATCCGCGGCGTTGGTCGCCCAAACGAAGGTCTTCGACTCGTCCAACTGGAGACGCAGCATGTCGATGAAGCAGCGCACCAGGTTGAAAGCATGCAGCAAGGCTGCTGCAGAATGCGCCGTGCCTGCATAGTTGTCAACGTAGCTGAGAACCCGGATCGAAGGGGCAAACTCACGCATATAAGCATGGTAGGCACAGTCCGCGAAAACCATCGCGAGAGGGCTGAGCGGGCAACCCTCCGGGAAGCCAGAGGTGGACAAGACCGCACAGCTGACCTCCTGTCTGATCATGAAGCGCCGTTCATTGACCTCGAGGAACGAGCACCAGGGCCGAAGCAGGCGGCGGGGGCACCCAAGTTGCGATGCCAGGCTCATGAGCGGGATCCGAGGGAGGCTATTGAAGGCCTTGATGATATCCGTGGAGTATCCCAGGAGACTTGTGCCGCCGAGAATGCTGAGCTCCACCTCCATCTGAACGGAATACCACAACTCAGCAGCAGTCCTTCCCGGAACAAAACCCAAAAGACCTTCTGGCACAAGCTGGCGAAGTGCAGCCAGGGACTGGCGCGCTCGGATGCCCGCCCAGGTGCGGTACACTATCGAGAAAAGGCAGAGTGGCCGAAAGCCATTGGCATCCAGACGGCCATTACCTTTGCAAAGCAGGCAGACGAAACCAGTGACAAGCTGCTTCGGCCAGGGACGGTCCTGCAACTCAAGGGAATGCAGGAAGCCTAGCAGTTCGAGCGTTCGCGCCCGGGGAAGATGAAGGAGGTCGTCCCGAGCCCAACCGTCAGGACCACGAGCCGCCCGTGGGCGAAAGCGCCGAAGGGCACGATTCCAGGTAGAGACATCAATGTCCGGCAGGTCGAAACTAAAAGCAGGGAGGTAGGCTGCGGCAAAATCCAAAAAGCGCCGCCAGTCAGAAGGAGTGGTGCCGGCGTGTTGTTGCCAGCGCGGCGCCCAAAGCGAAACAAATTCCCGGTGTAAATCAGCAACCGAAGAGAGAGTCTGTACTTGCTCAAGTTCGGAGCCTTCCAGAACACCATCAACTGCAAGAGAGCACACATCTGCGTCAACGGATTGGAAGGAGACGGGCGAGCCGTCAAGAGTCCAGGTAGAAGTTCCTCGTAAATCAGGAGGACGCTCGAGGTGGAGTTGTGCACTCGAAGGGTCGGAAGCCAAAATGGCATATTCCCGACGAATCTGGAGCGTGTCGACCTGCTCGGGGGCTGGGTCGCGGAGCTCCGTGTAGATCTGAGCAAGAGACTTGTCATACTTAGCATCCAAAATCCGCGCACGATTGCGCATGTGCCAAGATTCGAGCTTGCGGAAGTTGCTGCGAAAGTCCTCATGCAGCAAGCAAGCTGTCAAGGCGTCAGGCACACACTGTGGCAGAAAAGACGGGCTGCCGACAGAGCGGATTGGCCGATTGAGCCACCAAGTTGCGAAGCCGCCGCGAAAGCCGCGGGCATTGCAGATAGAATGCCAGAGGGCCAGACGATACTCTTGGGCAGAGGGTGAAGGATTGGCGGCCCGAGTCGCATGCACAAGAGATTGGAGCCTGCGCAGCTGCTGGAACCAGCGGCGAACCTCAGCCCCCAGTCCATCGTGGCGCAGAGCATCCTCGCCCGGCCGGCTGGCGCGGAGAGGGCGGCGGCAACAAGAAGATTTTTGCGGCGCAGTGCGAGAGCCGCGACCAAAGCAATTGGACGGCAAACGTCCCCCAGGGAAGGAACCCACATGCCCATCCAAGCTGTGTTCAAAGGCCTTCGAGAAAGAAGAAAACCACTGAGTGGAATCAGGAGTCTGGGGAACAGGCTGATGTCCCGCAAGCAGATGCCAGGCATCTACATCAATGTCAGCCCAAGGAAGCTCCGAGGGGAGCGGCCAAGTAGTCTCAACAACGGCGTGGCACGGAAGAGAGAACCCGGCGATTAAGGTTGAGTGCTCCTGAAAGATCTCAGAGACCTGAACATTCACACAGTAGGAGGCGGCCTCAGGCGAGAGCCAGATAAAGTCACGCTGCGTGGCATTTTTGCAGGTGGGCTGTGGCGGCGTGCCCCAGACAGCATTGGCGAGAGCCTGAGCCTCAACCCAGCCGTTAGCCTGCCAGAGCTGGCACTGGTGAAGGCGGCAAGCGTCATGGTTGAAGTCTCCACAGATGACGCGGAACCCCCGGGCACCAAGTACAACCTCCCGAGTGAGAGTCGTCAGGATGGCATCGGTTTGAGAAAGGGCCTTAGGCCAAGTTGGCCCCTGTGGGTACCCGTAAACTGTGGCAACAGTAATCGGCAATGCATCGTGATGGTGCTGACTGATCATGACGCGTCCGGTCTCGAAAAGCCCAGGGGGCCATTCGACTTTGTAGGGACTGCATGGGCAGTCTCCAACTTGAAGCACACCGGTCCAAGTGCCGGCCCAATCACTGTTAGCCCGAAGGGCTGCAGGGGCCCCGTGAGTGACTCGGGCCTGTCTGCCAACGGCTTTTGCGCAAGCAGCAAATTGTCGGCGGCTGCCGGGAAGCGTGACTGCAGAGAGGTGGGTCTCCGAAAAGCAATGCACTCCAGGGCCCAAAGAAGAGTAGTGCGGTTCTTTAGCCCGGAGCCCACTCGGATTACTCGTACTGATGTAGAAGGTAGCATCAGGACCAGGGTGTGCAGCTTCGCCAAATCGAAAGGCCCCAGGCGAAACAAGTTGAAGAGCAGCGGCCGCAGGGCACATCCAAGCGCCAAAGATGAGGCCCGGAAAACCAAGAGCCGAGGACAGTAAACTGCTGCAGCAGTGAAGCAAGACCAGAAAAGACCAGCGGAGGCCGAAGGAAGAGCCGGAGGCACCGCGCCGGTGAGAATTGGGCCGAGGAACGGCAGAGCAGAAGACGGCACACGACCCGCCACCATGCTCAGGGCGACGGTCGGGACGGCCTAGTCAGTGCCGGGACTTCTTCTCAGCGAAGAGTCCCTGGATCTGCTCCATCTGTCCGGCAAGCTGAGAGGCCATCTGCGAAGTCAGGTTGCCCTGCAGAGCGGCAACGGCACTGTGCACAGTAGACTGTATATCGGTGCGGACCTTTCCAAGCTCGGTCTGCTGTTCCTGCACCGTGGCCTTCAAAGACTCAATCTGGGTGGCTTGATCAGCGACCTTTGTGCCGAACCCCTGAAACCAAGATTCAAATTTTGCCCCCTGATGACGCATTTCCGAGACTGCCGTCTCGAGAGAGTGCAGACGTTTGTCTTGATCGGATAAGCCAGGAGGTGGCCCTCGAGCCTCAAGTGTGCGCTCGACGATCTCGTGAAGGATTTTTCAATCCCGCCTCAAGTTGAGCGAACTTCGAAACCGTTTCCTTGGAGGAGCTCGGAGCGGCGGTGGATGAGCGGGCAGTGGACCAGGGATCGGCCCCATCAGACCAAGGATCAGGCGGGAAGTCGCCGTCATCATCAATCAGCAGAGCACGCCGGGTGCGTGACGAAGCACAAATGTCCTTAGAGGGCCCCCGAGGCTGGCCTACGTCCTTGATCTTGGTGGCCAAGACGAAACCGGTGCCCAGAGGGAGTGCCTGCGAGGGTGGGTCACAGGAAGCACCGACGACCCATGCACAGCCTACCGAATCTCCCCGGTCGGGTTGCAGAGGCTTGCAATTCCAGTTCCACTGCTTCAAGAGCTGCACCAGGTTGTGCCGCTGAAAGCCGTGCGGCAGCGGGTGAAGACGGAAGCGGGCTGTTACCCGGACCTTAAGAAACTGATGCTGAGGCCTGAGTAGCTCAAAGACAGTCTGCTCATCAGCCTCTTTGGTGCGAAGTCCAAACTTGGTGCCAAGCCGCGTAACTGAAATTGCCTTTTCAGTGGTCCGGAGAGCAAGTTGCGCCTGCGCAGCCGAGAGGCCAGGCAACCAAATCACAGCCCAAGCAGGATGGGGTCCAGTGCCATCAGCGGCCCGAGGCTCTAGGTAGAGCCCCTCCAAGCTGGCAGTGAAAACGTGCGGGAAGGCTGAGGCCGGAATGCGCAGGAAGGCCTGGAAAAGCTCGGCCTCGGCCGGTTTGGTTTTGCCTTGACCCATTGGCGAGCCCAGACGTCCAGAAACAAATGCTCAACGATCTCATCAACGGCGGCATGAAAGCCTGAGCACTTGCCACCGCAGGCTGGGGATTTGCAGACCTGGAACTCTGGCACCGACTGAAGGAGGACACGAAGAGGGGCCTCGCAAAACTTTTCCCAGGAATGCTTGTACTCGTCGCGATACAGGCTGATGCGACAGACTGCCGTGGTGAGGTGTTCAACCTCTGCAATGTCGGCTGCACATAGCTGGACCTCCTCATCGCCAAGTTGGACGAGAGAGCCCGAGACCAGGATGGCCTCTTGCGTTGGCCCGAACACGGCCGGAAAGCGCAAAGCTGAGGCAGTAGTTGCAATCGAGTCAGGAATCTCGGCAGTGGTAGCAAGGGCCAAAGCGTCCACACTCAGGTTGCGGCCCAAAGCCAAAAAAGGCTTGGCTTGCTCAACTGTGCAGAAGCAGACCCCAGAAGCCTGAGACTCAACCTCATCATATGACAACTGTTTCAGCGGCGAGCCTGCCTTAGAGACGAAGCTGCCCTCAGCAAGCAGAAGCTGGCCCGGATCGATGTGGAGAGGGGCTGCAAAAGGCTTGCGCACGGCCTTGAGCTTTTTAGCTTTCGGTCGGCTGACCTCGGTACCGAACTTATCCTGTGCTTTGCGCTCGATGTGAAGCTGAAGCTCGTCCGCCTGCACCCACTTGAAGAGAGCCCCTGGCTTGTTTGCCGCGGCTTTCAGAGCCTGCCATGGGTTCCTCTGCTTCAAAGCGTCTGCCAAAGGCCCTGCACCGATCTTAGTGACCGCAGACTGAACGCGAGAGGCAGCTTGTTCCTGAGGAACACCTTTGGACACCAAGAGCTGCTGAAGCTCACCCTCGAGAGAGGGCCCAAGGCCGCCAAAGCCAGAAAGGTCTGATTCGAAAGGCGGCAAAGCAGCCAGGAAAGCACGGGCAGTGGACAACGGATCCGCGCCTTCATCTGTGACTTCAGGGAAGAGGCTGAGGGCATGCGCCAACACGATGGCGCCACATTCATCAGGACTGTGCTGCAGCCAGATAGTCTGCTCGCTGAAAGCCTCAAGGTGCTGGCCCGCAAGGTAACACAAAGCATGGGCCAGAGTCCGGGCTGCCTCAGAATTGCGACCCGGGATGCCATCAAAGACCTGGGCCTGAGCCGAGTTTTGCTGGACCTGTAGGACCAGCAGAGTCCAGTGCTGATCACAGACGAAAGGCACCAATGTCAAATGATCGCCAGGAATCCTGGCCGCAGCGGCAAGCGAGGGAGGCAAAGGTTGACCAATCTGCGCAAGGCGAAGCAAGACATCGGCGACCCGAGGAGGAAGCTGCCAAGCTGGAAAGTCAGGGCGCTGTTGCATGGCAGCTGCAAGTCCACACCAAATTGCAAAATCAGTGCAACCGGAAGAGAGCCGAAACGATTTGGGAGGCTGCCCTGCGAAAACTGCAGAGGGAGAAGCTTCAAGACCTGAGGCCGGGGGCGAAGCCGGCAGACCATTGGCACACTCGGGGGCCACTGAGACCTGGGGATCTCCACGGGAGGTGGCAGCAGGCGCAAAGGCGCGATCGGGGGTGGCAGAGCCCTGTGAAGCGGAAGCCTCGGACGAGAAATGCAGAGCACGGGGCTGCAGGTCAGAAAAGGCCTCCTCAGAGAGGCGGGCACGCTTTGCAACAGCAACAACAACGTATGTAGGTCCCTGAGGCTGTGGGTGCAGAAAGGCCCGAGCATCAAGTGACCTGTCGCCGGCAGTAACACGGACAGAGAAGCCAGGAGTCAGGCAGACTTTGGCTTGCTGGGCAAGCTGACCAGCAGTGATCGGCTCTGAAACCTGTAACTTGCTGGAGAAGAAATCACTCTGAAGTCGAATGTCGCCACCGATCTGCAAAGGCTGGGTCAGCCAAAAGTCCTGGCGCTGCAGCAGAAGGTCATCCTGAAAAGAGCGCAGTGCCTGCAGAGGTTCTGTGGCTGATCCTTCGAAGGCGTCAGCAGCCCAGTTTCTGATGTGTGCAAAGACCCACAGAGCTTGCAAAGGAGAGCTCAATTGCCCCACCAGACAGAGTGCTGCGCGTGGGTCCTTCGGCAGCGGATGCACCGTGGGCAGGGCATTCAGGAGACCGGCCTCCTTAGGATGCAAAAAGCGCTGGGCGGAGAGCACGACTGATGGTACACCGACACCTCGAAGTCCTCTGGCCCTCAGGCCGTGTTCACTGAAGGGTTCCAATCTGCAGCCGCAAGGGCAAGCACGGAGCGCATTGCCCCAACTGTGAAGAGCCGTCGGGGCCTGGGCATTGGCAGCTAAAGTGCGGGATTCAAGGCCATAGGCAGGATTTCCATAAGCCTCAAGTTCGGCAGGATCCCATTGCAGGGAGGACTCCTCAGAGACAGGCCAGATGGGCCAAGTCGGAATGACTTTGCCAACCGTCCAGACCTCGGCAGACTGCGGCCAGCAAGGAAGGGCGAGTGCGGGCATATGGCAAGGAAGCAGCACCGCCCACCACCGAAGGCGCTTGGAAGCCCACTGGTGTGCAAGTTCAAGAGTAACTTCGGAAACACGAAAGCCGGCCCTGCGGGCGAAATCGGAGATGCAGGCCAAAGCTTCCGGATGCCTCTGGATTTCAGTGACGCACTCCAAGATGAGCCCGCAAGCTTGAGAGTGCCAGGCCAGCTGCAAGACATGGCACAGTGTTTGGCTCCTTGGGTCGCGAAACCCCAGCACTAGCCCTTGACGGGAGTAGCCCTGGCAAGGGATGCCAGCTGCAATTAAGCAACGGGTTGCCGGTTGCACTAAGTGAGTCTTGCGTCGCACCTCTGGATCCGCCAAATCCCCTTGGATCACCGGAAGTTGCTGCATGCGGAGCGCAGAGCAGGCTAAAGGGTTGCAGTCCACAACGGCGAGGCAGCGGCCTCCAAGCCGCTCACAGCCTACCGAAATCCCCCCTACACCCGCGCAGACCTCCTTAAGAAACCCGAAAGATGACTCCTGCAGTGCGGGGCGTTTCACGACTGTCGTTCCAGTGAGCAATTGCAGCCAGTGCATTTCACCCGTGAAGCTCCGGTATTGCACCCCATATAGCGTCAATGTTTCACCCACAAAGAAGGACCCGATACACCTCGCTGTTTCGCCGTGCCAGGGCAAGAAAAGCGTAGCGGCGTGCTGGTCCGAAGCCTGCACCCTGACAACCGCATCGAAGCATTGACCAGCCTCCAAAGAAGTAAGACGGGGGTCACCCACCACCGACATGAAGGACAATACTCTCGAAG